CAAAAGTTGGGCCATTTTGTCCTCATGCGCCAATGAGCAGCTCTCATAGGAAAGAACGTGACCCCGCCTCCGACGCTGTATCCAGTTCTTATTATACATCCATGTCAGGGACTTTTTCCGGTGTGAATGCGATTTACTAGGACAGTTCCGGGACTAAAGAGTTCGGCGGGACTAAGTACTGGGAACTAAGTACGGCAAAGTACTTGGTGTGAAAGCGGCTAGGAAATTACCCAACCTCTCAATTGATTTATTACTTCATTTAACAATTTACTGATGAGTTTATCGTCTCAAATACTTGAGCGTTGGATTTAGCAAAAGTCGATGGGCTTATTCCGTTGGATTTTGGAATATTGCAGTAAATACATATGGCTCATGTTTTTCTCTAGTTTTTTCAGAAAAATAATCATCCCAAATGAACACAATTTGTATGATTAAAGCATAAATGCAGGCAAACAATGCATTGCTAACTTCTGGCTTGGCCTACATAAAAACGTCAGCCATTAAGCACTGTATCAAGTTTTAAAAATATAAGGAAAAATGGCAAATACAAGGCAGAACTAAGGGTTAATATGCAGCGAGCTGGTCATTATTGCGAAAGGAACCAGCCAGGGTTAGCAGGACTCTTGTATCACCCTGAAGGGTTCTACTTATTACAACTTTTTTTCCCCCACCTTGCTCCTACTTATCCGAAAATTGTTCTGCTGTTAAGCGAATCTCGGTCTCACTTTTAGTCTTCCCTCTTGGATACATAAACCAGTTTCTCTCTTCCTGTTTCCATCCTTGTTGCTATTGAAACCAGCTTCTTAAAAGGTCAGAGTAGTTAACTCAGTTCGCTCACTCCCCTTTCCTTTATGTGCTCTGTGCAGCACAGCTGACTGTAATAGAGAAGTGAAGTCATGCTAACACTATATATTAAGCAATTTTTACGTCATTTGTTCTTAATCCAAACAAGGCAGATACACTGATTCAATCAAGGCAACACGTCAGTTTAAAAGCGAGCCAAGGTTATGATGTTTACATTCTGTCAATTTGTCTACAAACATTTGTAAACAATTAGAGTTTATTAGCAAAAAAAGACGAAAGACAACTTGAATTGACCACATTAACAGTAAAATGAGCTCAGCTCTCGTGCGTGTGTGTGTGTGTGTGTGTGCGTGTGCGTGTGCGTGTGCGTGTGCGTGTGCGTGTGTGTGGGTGTGGGGGTGTGGGGGTGTGTGTGTGTGATCAAGCATGATATCAGAGGTAATTTGAACTTATTTAGATAAACTAGTGCAGTGACTGTTTAAACTGTGTGTGTGTTTGTCAGGCAATAGGAGCCCCAAGGCTGCAGGGCATTCCACTGGGACAAAAAATAAATCACAGACTCAGGAGAGATCAGAGACCCCTGGAGCAAAAAAGAAGCTAGGAGTCCGTGTTATGGTGGGAGCTGAATTCAAATTGGACATTTCCATTAGACATTATCCAGCCTTCTACATGTTTCTTCCCTGTTCTATCCCTAACAGAAGCTGTTGGGTAGATTGCATAATCCTGACTTTTTAGCTAGCGCCACCATCAGGTCTACATTTTAATTTGCCCTGAGCTAAAGTTTGTTTGCTGACATGCTAAACTGTGGCGACAATGGCCAACTAGACCTGCTGAAAGGCAACATGTTAGCCATTAGCTCAGTAATGGCGCATTTCCACTACAGCGTGGAGCGCGGTTTAAGCGTGCCGTGCCGCGCCCGGCCCGTTTTTGGTTACGTTTCCACTAGGCGTAGTTCCGGCTAGCGGGTACTTTTTCACAGTTTTTCTGGCTCTCCAAAATCGAGGTTCTTTCCGGGCCAACAACCGGGCTGAGTATGCTAAACTAGTGAGAGAATCGCTGGCAACTACAACAAAATGAACATATTTTACCGTGATTTAATTGTAATACACGTTTAAAAATGATGCCGAAGTAAAAACACACTGATACCGGTTAGTAAAAACCATGAATTAATGCTTTGACAAGTCTGCAGACAGACGGCAGGCGAAAAACCTTTTAAAATGCGTGTTTTCTGAATGGAGATTGGCTAGGCTAACGTTGGATATGCTCCGACTGTCCACACTCACAACAACGGCCTATACAGACATAAATAAAGCAGCGACTGTATTCACCATGACACAGACAGTCTGTGGTTTGTACTTGTTTAACTTTTGTCTAGTTTCTGAACAGATATGAGGAGCTGTGAGCTCTGAGTGCTAACAGCTAACGGCTGATGTTGGTTTTGTGGTTCTCATTGAAGATGACGTCACGGCTCCGCCTACACTGCGTTACTATAGTTACTGCCCCAGTTCCTAAACTGTAATGGAAACGCAGCATAAAGTGAGCCTGGCCTACCAAGGCCTAACTATACCGTACTAAGCCGTGTGAGGCCCTGCAGTGGAAATGCACCATAAGAGTCATTTATTGCTTGTTGCTTTGGGCTTTGATGACGCCAAAAGCTAGCAGGTACTGTAGCTCACTCGTTAGCAAACATTGTATGAATAAGCGATATATGACTTTCTGCGAGAATTTTCTTGACTTTGTGCTAAACACTTGTTTTTATGTTGGTCATTGTAATATTGAAGGTACAACCAGTAGAGGAATTCCATAAAATATATTAATAATTTTTGACCGAGTTGGCCTGAAAGTTTATTTATTACAATGCAGACCGCCATGTCTCATTTACAGCTGACAGGTGATGCTAACTGACTTTATGATAGAGACACTGACCAAATGAAAGGCAACCACTAAACTAACAATGAATTACAAATGAGACAGTTTCCAGTCTGGTGTAAAGTAAACCTTCAGTTTTGCAAAGGAGTTTATTTTATTTTATTAAATCTCTAGTAAGAAAGAAGGAGTGTCTAAACTAATTGAACTCAACAACTGATGTCAATGAAAATGAATGCATACAAAATAAACATTTGGATCAGTCAAATAAAGTCAAAAGCTATCAATATTTGTCCTTTTAATCACATTTTTTCCAATGTTTTCTCTAAATTGCACATACCTTTTTATTTCAGGCCGTTTTGTGTCGGTGGAAGCAGCCGTGAGCGACGACCAGGAGGATCAGATAGGTGCAGATGGCGGACCACAGAGAGAGACCTCAGGGGTCCTGCTGAGCCCGGCTCTAGAGCAGGGCGAGTGGAGCTGCCTGAGGCTCGTCTACCAGATCAGCGGGTCGGGGAGCCTGGAGGTCCTGCAGCGCACTGAGGGAAAGAGTTTCGACAGACCGCTGTGGAGCAACCAGTCACCCTCTGACAGCTGGGTCATCTCCAGCATGGACCTGCAGAACACCACCGAGCCTTACACGGTGAGAGGACTTCTGAAATAGTGTCTAATCTTTGTCTGAAAGGCTTGAAATAGAAAACATAGTAGCCAAAGTAAAATCCACAAAGAGGCTGTTTGGAAACATTACATATATTGAAAACTACTCAAATAAAAGTAACAGGTATGAGCAGTCCACTGTTAGGGAACAAACACCTAAGAATTGGAAAAACAGTTTCTGCTCACAGGTATATTCTCTCTTTGTTAAAGGAACCTGGAAATGCAAAAACCAAGTTCTCATGCTGTCGTTGAAAGGAGGCCAAAACTAGATTCATATAAATTACACATGGGCCCAAATTGAGGCAAGGACAAAGTGTGCAGAAACAATAACACACACCTTCACATGCACACATTATCCAAACACTGTGTGGGAATAGTACAGCACATGTTTATATTACATCCAGACTCGGGCAGAGCTGTCTGTGACAGGGTCGTGACCTACATAATGGAGAGAGGGGTGTGTGCTATGTGTGGGCCCCTCAGTGCATTAATGTATTTCAGACCAGACCTAGGTAAAAAAAAAAAAAAAAGGAAAATGTCAGAGGTAGAAGCGAACTGACTGATAAATCGTTCTGCTCTCTAGTCTCACTGAACCGAAACCAAGCAACTCATTCTCATAGCTGGAACTCAGGCCTCCTACCAAATATCCCTTTATCACTTTCAATTACAAATATTCTAGATGGGAAACATGCTTATTTTCCTTCTAGTTAGAAGAAAAGGAAAAATGATACCAATAAGAGAAAGTTAACAACTACTGTTAGCTAGAAAAGACAGTGAAACACCTAGCTGCTATAGTCTAGCGATAGCATCCTGTTGCAGAGCTTTGTTAAAAAAAAGTGTTTATTGTTAACCAATAATATCTATTTAGCATATATTTAATATATTGCATCATGTGCTACACTACCTCTGCTAATAATACCAAATGAAAGATTACAATTAGTTATTAAAGTTATGTAACGTAACGAGTGGCAAACAAATGTAGGCTACAGACCTTTGCTAACGCTAGCTAGTGTTATTGTTAGCACAACATGAAGAGGGGGAAATTATTACTTATTTTGTTGCTAAACCAAACTTTTTAAGTTACAGTTATATCAAAAATATTGGTTGTATGTTTAGCCTCCTTGGTGTTTTTGGTGGAGGTGGGGCTTATTGAAAAATGAATTTCCCCCTGGGGATAAATAAAGGTTAATCTTCTTCTTCGTCTTCCTTTTTAACGCATATTATTTTTGCAGGATTTGATCCGTGCTTGACCCTTCTCAATTATTGCAGCTATAAAGAGACAGACACGTTCTCAGGAATTGGTGGAGACCAAACCAGAGCCTTAAATAAGTGAGCTAACATTAAGGTGGACACAAACTGTGAAAAAGCTACAGTATAAGCAGCAAAAACAGTCGAAAAGCAATCAGCCCACTCCGAACTGGCATGTTTTAAACAGTCACTGCACTAGCTTATCTAAATAAGTTCAAATTACCTCTGATATCATGCTTGATCTCTCACACACACACCCACCCCCACCCCCCCCCCCCCCCCCCCCACACACACACACACACACACACCACACACACACACACACACACACACACACACACACACACACACACACACACACACACACACACACACACACACACACACACACACACACACACACACACACACACACACACACACAACCATGACCTCATGCTTAAACAAGTGTGTTTCTTCTCTGTCTTCCTTCTCTGTGCAAGTCATTTCACGGAAAACATGCCGCTTCAAAAGCAAATTAGATTTCTGTGCGTTTCGTGCGTGCTTTCTCTTTGACTTCCATACAATTGCTTTCCTCCTATGATATCATCCCTGTGTCACTCCCTATCAGGATTGCTGGGTATCACTGAACATGTGTTGTCGATTAGGTTGTCATCGGAGGTAAACCCGGACTGAGCACTGGGAGCAGCGTGGCCGTCTTTGAGATCCACATCACCCCGGGGTACTGCCTGGGTCAGTGACTTCACACATACATCACTCACACATCTTTCTGAAATCAAAAAGAAAATAATAATTCACATGTGCATGTACCTCCGGTGCTATGTTCCTCACAAAAACATGAACAAATTATAATCAGTTTGCACTCACACCCATAATGAGTCGTCTGTTGCTCATTTCCTGCGTGTAGATTGTGATTTTGAGGAGTCTCACCTGTGTGGATACAGTAATCAGTGGAACGCTAATGTAAACTGGTATGTGGGAGGAGGCGGTTCCCAGATCCTTCACAACAACATACCAAACGACCACACATACAACAACAAGACAGGTGAGGATTATTCACAAAAAGGTGTTTTTCCTTTAATGCTGGGTATGCGTGGATTCTGAAAGTCTATGTGGGTACGCTGTATTCGACAACCTGACTCATATCTAAGCTCCCACTCAGGTCACTTGATGTACGTGGACTCCATCTACGCCAAGACTTTCAAAGAAGTGGCAAAACTGGCGTCTCCCATGACGACGGTGCCGATGTCCGGATGCCTGAGTTTTCAGTACCAGCGAAGCGAGGAGAGAGGGAACCTGTTCTCAGTTTTCACCAGGGACCGGCTGGGTCAGTACCAGGAGCTGTGGAGGGCGGGGTCAGAAAACCAAAACGACTGGAGCGGGACGCTGGAAGAATGGATACCTGTGCAGGTGGAACTGAAGGCACCGTACTCTGTACAGGTCAGTATGGAATTACGCTTAATCTACATAGCATTTCAGAGTGTATGTGAACACTTTAAGATATTTAGATGAGACTATATGACTTTTCAAAGGAAGAAATAGCACATTGTTTTTCTTACATTTTCCTATTTTGTTGTGTTTTTAAATGTTTTTACATCATGTATGAGGGTTTTCAGTCTGTGGCTATAAGTATGGTTTCATTGTCTCATGTTTTTACATTAGTTTCTTTTTGTCCTATCGGTTTTGTCTAAATGTATTTATGCTGCTTTTTTATATATTTATTGATGTACAGCACTTTGGTCAACTCTGTTGTTTTTAAATGTGCTATATAAATAAAGTTGGATTGGATTGGATTATAAGTAATTACTTTTTCCTACATGTCCTATTGTCTAAAGATAAATACATGTATATGATATAAGGGCTTAGATAAATGGAGAAATAATATAAATGCATGCTGGTTTGTTTGTGGTAGCAATGCAATAACTATGGGAAACGTCTCCTCTGAAACTAATATGTTGAAGGATTGTTATCATTTTATGATGAATTAAATCATAAGCAACATTGTAGGTGGTCTAATTATTCAACATGCTGTTTAAGGTTTACCTATAAAAACAGAATGTAAAAGTGTTTGTTTTTAAATGTGTGCTTTCTTCTTACATACATTTTCTTTCTGTGTGAGGGTTTTATATCGGCGTGCACATGATGTCATGCATCTGTTTATGAGCTTCTCCATGTGTCTGCTTCTCAGGTGGTCTTTGAAGTGTCCTTTAACAGTGCGAGAGCTGGACGTGTTGCAGTGGATGACATTTCCTTTTCTCCAGAGTTCTGCAGCACAGACACTGGTGAGCTGCAGCCAAAGTCACTCACTGTTGTTCATCTAATACTTTCTGGGAGACCATCCAAATTATTAACAATTGAGGATGTTCATATACAGAGATGGCAAAAGTACACACATCCTTTACTCAAGTAGAAGTACAGATACTCGTGTTTAAAAATACTCTGGTAAAAGTAGAAGTACTGACTAAACTTCTTAACTCAAGTAAAAGTAAAGAGGGCTTTGAAATGTACTTCAGTAAAAAGTACCCATAACTACCAGCTGTTTTAAAGAGTACCTGACCTCCCTTTATATTAGTAGAACAATAATGTCATTGTTAGCTAATGAATGTTTCCATGCTGAACAACGGCAACATGACAACGTTTTCATTGGTCCCTCTTCTTTAGAGAAGACCATGAATGATGGATACACGGATCGTGTTCAAATCAATAGGCACGCAATGACTCTAAATAATAATGATCACGCCACCAAACACACATTCAAACTAAAGGAACCAGCCTGTTTGGAAATGTAAGAAGTAGAAAGTACAGGTATTTGAGTTCAACATGTAAGAAGTAGAAAGTACAGGTATTTGAGTTAAAAATGTAAGAAGTAAAAGTAAAAAGTCGTCAGAAAAATAAGTAGTGGAGTAAAGTACTGATACCAGAACAATGTACTTAAGTACAGTAACGAAGTATTTGTACTCCACTACTTCCCACCTCTGTTCATATATCAAGTTAGTCCCCAGGGTGGTGGATTAAAATAGAGTATGGACCATCCCTAAGCATGATTGTGCTCATTACAGTTCATTGCTTTCCTTGCATTTTTAGTATTTCCTCTGTCATGTGAAACGTTCTGTTAAATATTAAGTTAAGGCCAAATACAAAACAGTGTTAATCCAACAACATCTGCTGATCCCATACATGTGATCCACAGAGCCGACCTTTGACCCCTCCATCGCTAACTGTGACTTTGAGGCTGGTTTCTGCCGCTACTCCCAGGAGCAGATGATCGGGTCGTCGTGGAGGAGAGTGTCTGTGAAGCCCAACATATTTAGGAACGGAGACCACACCACAGGGGCAGGTGGGCTACAATGAATAATAGTCTATTTAAGTTTAGGGGGCGCTATAGAGCCATTTTGCGTGCGCCGATTATGAAACCCCCAAAATATCACATTTTTCTGAGGGTTTGGAGAAAGAAGGAGGAGAGTTTACTAGATCTCTGAAGTCCATCCTTATCTCTGCTTAAGGATAGCAGTCCCTGACTACATCAACCTTTACTAGCATAACACTAAAATCTGTACAGTCAAGTGAATCCAGTGGAGTTTGATTGTGGGTATTGTGGTCAACTTGTTAGGTAAATTCTGCAGCTTCACAAAGCTTTTAGCCCTATTTAGCTTATTGTTTTTGCCATTTTTACTATCTGGTTCAGTAAATGTTGCCACCAGAAGCAGTTGCTTTTTTAAATGTTACATTGCTAATATGTTAGCGATTACCATTTTATTAGGTGGTTGCTTTGTATAGATTTTGTAGCAAAGAAAATCGGATGACACAGCTTTAAAAACCAAAGGGTGAAAATGTGGTACAACCAATCTGGATTTGAGGGTTAAAAGAATTTGAAAACTGTTGAATTCAAGATAAAAAACAGGTGGCAGTAGTGACAGGAACACTCATGACATGGACTCAGAGGAAGAGACCGTTTTGAAGGGAAATAAAGGCTCTCTTCTCCTTCAAGGATATTTCCTGTTGGCTCACTCCTGGCTGAGCCCACTCTCTGGTTACGTTAGTCGCCTGATTGGTCCAACTCTGCCTGGGAACATGAAGTACTGCCTGAGATTCTACTTCTCCCTGAGGGGTGAGTGGCACCCCAAAACTCTCCGGATGAAAGAACATTTGCATAATGTTATCGCTGTCTGTGATTGTTTGATTGTAAATGCTGTGCTGTGATTTATTTGACTGACTCACCGACCAAAAATAACTCTGGCAACTGCAGGTTTCAACCAGATGGACCAGGCTCTGGCTGTGTATCTGCAGCAGGGCAGCAGCCAGGAGAGGATCTGGGCTCAGGGGGAGAAGTCCAGAGGAATCTGGATCACAACGGACATCACCTTCCAGACATCAAAGCCTGCCAAGGTCAGAAGAAAGGAAGTGGAAACATCAAAGGCAGAAAACAGTAGCGAATAAGCGTGAAAGGGAAAGAGGGAAGGATCAAAAAGGAAGTAAGTGAGGGGAGGAGAGAAAGAGGGAGACAGTGAGCCAAATAATTAATTAATAAAAGACGGGAGTAAGGAACGAAGGAAATAATAAACAAACAAGAAGGGCATTCAAAATGTGCAGACCTCCGCCAAGGCAGAGAGCACAGAGCTTCGCTAAGGCCTTTCCCATGAATACAAAGTAATGCTCCAGGAAGCAGATCCGCTCCAGAATGTAATGGGTTCTTCCTTGGCTCAGGATTCACCTTTCCACCAAGTTTCATTGACATTGGGCCAGTCGTGTTTTTCTAAGCCTGCCGTATGAAAGACAAACAGACCACAAACCAAACTGAAGACATCCCCTCATTGGTGATAGGATTCGCGATAATAGAATAAATTATCACTTTCATAATAGTGTTGTCCTTTACGGAGCCCTAAGGGGAAGACAAAAACCTGTCTGAATGTTTTTTGTCTCACTTTCTGCTCTTGTGTTGGAGCCTTTTACAGTTCAGCTTTTTGATGTATCTGATGTATTGAAGTACTGTGTTTGTTCATGTGCATGATGAGAAGGAATTCATCCAGATGACTAAGTGCTCAAAGGATTTCCCACACTGGCCTTTTCTTCCTTTCTTAACACCGATTTAAAGATTCCAATTGAGGATTTGTTCTTCCCCATGAGGAAGTCTCACACAGAGCAGGGCAGAAACAAACAGAACAGAGCTGTCAGTGTAAATGAGCGATGGTTTTGATCCTCTGATGGTGGAGCTGCTCACTGCTTTCCTCTGCTGTTCAGGTGGTGTTCGTCAGCACCTGCAGGAGCTTCTGGGACTGCGGCTCCGTGGGTTTGGACGACATCAGCCTGAGCCTCGGAGACTGTGAGCTGACAGCAGGTACAAACTGCAACAACAAAAACAAATCATAGCGTGCTCATACACATCTCTATTTATTTACCCTGATCAAAAATCCATTCCCCATTTTTAATTGCAGTCAGATGACATCAAAATACTCCCACAACAATAGGCACACATGCTGTTTAGCTAAACGCAGCAATAAGAAAACTAGTTCCAGTCCGCGAGTCATGGCTGCATTATTACCACCACAAATCTAAAATCAATGGGTTTTGATGATTTCCTCAGTTGCTAAGTTATTAAAGGGCTATTGTGCTCAATTTCAGGTTCATTTTTGTATTTGGTCAGCAAATAGTGTTTTCATGTTGCTGTTGCAGGCTCTGTGTTGCCGACTCTCCCAGGACACTGTGACTTTGAGGCGGGCCTGTGTGGCTACACTCAGGACAAGCAGAGTGACAGTGGAGACTGGGAGTTGAGACGAGGACCCACCCCCACCTCCTACACCGGGCCGAGAGCAGACCACAGCACGGGACTCGGTGAGGGTCCCACGCTTAACGCTCCTTCCAAATCCACAATATTCTGCACGCTCTAAAACAGGGATGTCCAAACTACGGCCCGGGGACCAAATGCGGCCCGAGGCCCATTTTGAATCGGCCCTCAGCTAATTCCAAAAGTATATTGAAATAGGGCCCACAAAATGAAACTTGTGCTTGTCATATATTGTACTTCTTAAATATATATGTACAAATATATTAGACAATATTCATGTGTTAAAAGGTCAATTAAAGTTGGAAACATTTTCAAACAAATCTTAGATGATACAAAATAATAACCCAATAACTTAATTACATAACAAGCTTGAAATACACCCTTCATATTTTCTCTTTTTATAAGCAATATGAGGCTTGTTTTTTTTTAACTTATAACTGAACTGACAATGCAATATACCTCACCTCTATATTTTTCTGTATTTGACCCTCAGTGAAGAAAGTTTGGACACCCCTGCTCTAAAAGAACTAGAGAAAGTTACACAGTAACACAGCTTGAGTAACAGTCTGCATTGAACCCGTTGACCTTTGATTGGCAGGATACTACCTGCACATGGAGGCGTCACCCATGCTGCCGGGTCAGAGCGTGCGGCTGCTCTCTCGACCCCTGAGAGGCTCCAGGGGGCCTCAGTGTTTGAGCTTCTACTACCACATGTACGGCTCAGGCACGGGTCAGCTCAGCGTTCACCTCCATAAGGATGGAGAGGATGCGTTGCTGTGGAAACTGAGCGGAGAGCAGAGCGTTGCCTGGCTGAGGGCCACGGTGGAGTACAGGAGCGATATCCAGCATCAGGCAAGAAACCTCTGAGGGCTGTTTGTATTTAAAGTCTGTGCGCTGGACATGGATATTGTTAGAAAAATATCACTCAGGATGCAGTTCAATACCAGTTCAAAGCAGTATACAATGTTTAGATTAGCTAAGACCCACCTGAACCTGAACCCACGTTAGAAATGATCATGCTTGTCATATATCTATCTCCATAGAGGCTGAATCATCATGTTATTCACATACTGTATCATAGGCCTAAAACAGTCCTGATGCTCTTCTCAAACATCCTGTCATGTACACAGCTACAGTTGGGCCTTTGTTATCATGTGCTACTCTGATATTGGAAGAGTACATTCAGTATTTTCCCAACAGATATGATAAGCCTATTAAACACAATACATTATATAGGATTCCTAACCTTTTGGGCTGTTTTGCAAATGAGTTAAGGCTGGAGGTTTGACTGTAAATAAGGAAGATAAAATACATATCCAACAGCTACAACAGTATAATGCAGCCTAAACATTGCAGCAGTGCACCCTAATTGTGTCATATACAAAGATATATCAGTCACACGGGCCATATTCTGCAGAAACAGTACTTTTGATACTTTTTGCTCTATAGCTCTGTACTTCTCTCTCTGTTCCAGATTGTGTTTGAAGCCACCAGGGGTTCATCAGTAAGGAGTGACATTGGCATTGATGACATTATCTTAGAGAGCGGACCTTGCCCAGGTAAAACATCTACAGTATTGAATGTTGAACACATGGTTTAAGATTAAACATCAAAGAAGAAAATGAACAGAGAATTACCTGATTTACTTTTGTTCCCCTGCAGTAACGAAGACAGAAGCCCCCGTGGGAAGCTACAATGAGATCGAGTAGAAGGAAGATCAGCTGTGTACGATGCATGAACCCCCCCACCCCCCGTGTTTTTTGTTGTTGCACATTACAGACCCCTGACTCCTGCGTGTCAATCAGAACATTTAGTAGTGCGGGTAAAAGGAAACTTTTCATGTAGTTCCGTTTTGTTGAAGCAACACCAATCAGGTGTATAATAGTCCGCATTTCTCTCTGCACTGTAGCAACAGAGTGAGTTTAACTGTGTTTTTTTCACATGTATATGCATTAGATTAATGCTCAACGCCAAATAAAGCGAGAAGGTTAAAAAACAATACGTTGGTTTGTGTTTTTACTGGTTGATGTTGAATTGAATACCTCGTTTCACTGTCACCTTGTAGGAATGCATCTTAGGATCTTCCAATTCATTAATGAATAACGAACTGACTAAGGACATCATTTTGGGATCATTACTGAAACTCAAGTGGAAACATTTCCATCATGTCCCTAGTTGGACCACATAACTGTAAGGACTATGACACAGAACATACAATAACAAATAATAATAAATATACTCAAAAATGCACTCATTAGACTGCAAATCTCTGCCACTGCTGATGTTATATTGGAAAAATACAAACCGCAAATATCATAAACTTCCACAAAATCCTTGCGAGTTGCAATATCAGGCAAGTATGGCAGGATCAGATCAGCTGCTCATCACTTGCCCCATCCTTCAGTCAGAAGCAAGTCGTGACATTATAAAACGTACAATGTTATATGTTTTTCAAAAAATCTCTCATCCCCAAAGCCACAAGAGATCTTTAAGAAACAGTCATACATGTGCTCAGAAAATACGAGGCTGATGGGTCCAGTATTACAAAGTGAGCATCCGCCAACATCGAGGAGCTAACGCGGCATTAGTAAGGAGTCAGACGGATTATCTGGAGTGTAGTTAAGTGTGCTTTACCAAAACATGGCTGCAGCTTTAGGTCTGACCTGCACCAGGATCTGACAGTAATGTTTCCATCGATGGCTTGCACGAAGGATTGCACCGAGACAGTCTTCACCATGTCCTCGGAGGGTTTCTGTGCTGTGGAGGACGTCCTGTCTTGTTCCTGTGCTTTAGACGCTGTGTCCCTGGGGCTACAAGGACTTTTATTGCACATTTATACTTCAATTGTTTATATAAATATGTTTTTATTGTAAGTACTTCGATTGATTGATTCTTTGTGAGAGTAGCTGTGGACAGACGGATATCCGGCAGAGATAACAGAAGAAAAATAAAAAGCTAGTGTTAGTTCAACGTTGGTTTAAATTGCAGATTAAGCAAAGTTTGCTTTTTCACTGATTGGTAAGGGATAATATACAGCAAGCCAATATATTCAGATTTATTCAAACCACATTCATACATTTACTGTACATCTCAATAAAAAAAAGTGAATCCGAAAAAGTTTCATTTGGTCCAAAAGATTTGCGTTACATTATAAGTGTCCCATCGTTCAGGTATTTAATGGACTCCATCTGCTGCGTCATCGCAAGAACTTCGTGAAATCCCGTGCTGAGTCCCGACATGTGCTGGAAGTACGCCTCCTTCTCCACCTGCACCGACAGATTGTTCACCCCGGCGTCTTTCAAAATGGCCGTCACCTGCCAATCACACAGACACAGAGCGATCAGAACTGACAATTGTGGGGGAAATTCCACACTTAATCACCTTCTGGTAAGAAAATAACAAATATACAAGCTTAAACCAAAGTTGTGTTATTTAATAAAGAGTTATAGCATTGAACAGAATCAATCTTATTTCCAGCTGGAAGGACAGATAACCTGTGTGCTTAAGAAATCTGACCAAGTTACACAGAAACGCAATGACTTTATACAGGGAAGAGACACAGGAAGAGGATTCATTCAGCTCGGTAATTTACGTTACAGTCTTAAGGAAGGTGGGGGGCAGACAGAAGGGGAAGTATCGCATGTTAATTACAACCCTAACATCCATATGATAATTGCCTGACAATGGTCAAGGCGACACCCTTCTGTCTGAGAACATTTTGTAGTTAGGAAACCTATATATATATTGAATTATTATAAATTCCCATCATAACAATTACCAATCATTTCTTAGCGATCTGCCTAAGGACATGACTGGTGATTCTACAGTTTGTACCGACCTGCTGAACGATCCTCTGCTCCACCACGTCTGCCATGATCTGCAGGTGGATGGTCCCCGCCACCATGTTGGCCGAGTGCCTCCAGAAATGAGCGTCTCTGTACGACAACACTCCTTCTATCTTCTCGATCTGAAAAAACAACCAGGGAAATTAACACCAGGAAAACTGCTGAGGGGCTGGAAACATATTCACTTTTGCCAAGGCATTTGATAATGCTCAAGCACTTTCTTGAATCTCAATGCAAGTCTGTCATTTATGTCAGGAAATAGTCATTTCTTTCAGAGAAATGGAAAATGTAGATCACGTACAAACGGTCTATTTAACTTAATGTCTTCACTGTTGTCTGATAAGTTAGTCCCATGTTCTGAGACAAATCCAAAAGCAAATCCTAATACTATGCTAATTATATTAGCTCAATTACAATTGAACCATTGGTGGCTGAGGATAACGTGAAGTTAGTTCATACTTTGATCCAGGAGCTAAATTGTTGACATTATGGTAATGCTAGTAAGAGTGCTAACACCATTACAATAAGAATAGGAATAATAGGAATAACCTTTATGCAAATAACATCTAACTTTACGTTCAAATGTAATGGCTGAAGTTTGCTAAGCCAAATGAATTCAACCACATCAGGTTAGTTAACAATCCTAAGAAGTCAACTCCTTTAATAATATAGATCACATGTGTCAAACTCAAGGCCCGGGGGCCAAATCAGGCCCTTGGTGGATTTAATTTCGGCCCGCAGGATAATTTCTAATTACTATTAGATCTGGCCCGCCGGTATATTGCACGCACACCTTCACTCAATCCTGAGGATCTCCTCAGCTCAGAGCCTGACCCCAAACATTGATGAACTTGCACCCAAGTGCCAAGTATCTGACTTGAACTAGCATCACAGAGCAGCACACTGAGTTTCAATGGATGTTTCCTTCTGCACTTTGTTTCTTGCGACAACAGGGCATGTTTGGTTTTTTCTTTGAGGGAAATTGTTTTTTTGAAGCTGTTGTTGGCCTGTGGGAAACATGTAATCATAAGAAATGAATGCAACTTATTATTTAATGTTTAATGTTGTTTATATAGGCAATAATTTAAGCTTTGTTAGTTCCAGGTTTAATATGTGCAATAAGTTCATTTCAATAAGTTTTGCCCTCCACTAGTACCGATTTTTTAATTTTGTCCCACTGTGTATTTGAGTTTGACACCCCTGATCTAGATAGATAACAGATTTGCCTTATTAAACATACAGTTATTCTGATGTGCAGTGAAACCACTATCTGTGAAAGACAACTGAGATAACTTAGTCCTCATCATGATTGATTTCCTCACCTTCTCCAGCGCACTGGTCAGCTCCTTCTCATTTTCTTGGGGAATTCTCAGAAGAAGCACCTCGCAGGCGTCCTTCAGCAGAGGGATGACGCTGAGGAAGATGAGCACTGCGATGAAGAGCGAGCAGATTGGGTCCGCGATCAACCAGCCGAACTGACGGATGAGGATGGTGGAGATGATGACGCCCACGCTGCCCAACGTGTCAGCCAGTACGTGGAGGTAAACACCTGCAAGGAAAAAACAAAATAAATGTATCTCGCTACATCCCCCGTTACAGTAAGGTATTATTTTAGTGCATCAATGAAAAAACGCACCTCTGTTGTTTTTTTTATGGTTTTTTTTCACATGTATATGCATTAGATTAATGCTCAATGCCAAATAAAGCGAGACGGTTAAAAAACAATACGTTGGCATGTGTTTTTACTGGTTAGTGTTGAATTGAATAGCTGATTTTACTGTCACCTTGTGGGAATGCATCTTAGGATCTTCAGATTAGTTAATGAATAAAGAACTGATATTATTTTGGGATCATTACTGAAACCCATGGAGTGACCTTTGGAAACATTTCCAACATGTCCCTAATTGGACCACATAACTGTTAGGACTATGACACAGAAAGTACAATCAGAAAATAATAAGAGAAAGTGCACTCAATAGACTGCAAATCTCTACCACTGCTGTGATCAACTGTGATTAACTAAATAAATGTATCTCGCTACATCTCACGTTCTTAAATGTATCTTGTATTTAATCTTTATTTTGTATTTTTAATTAATTATTATTATTGATTTTTTTGTGTTTTTTTTTCTTTATCATGTGAAATGTATCAGGATGTGCAAGCGATACAATGATGTGACCAATGTTCCAGTTCTTGTGAGAGTGGGGGGATTCTGTTTGTTTTCTTAGTTAACAAAAGAGGGGTAGTAGTGCAACTTCCTGTAATAAGAAAACCAAAACCAGGAAATGTGAAAAATAGTTGTATTGTCTGTTAAATCTGCACTCCTTAATAAAAAAACAAAACAAAATACAGTCCGCAGCAGTTAACATTAGCCCCTCTTCACTCAAGCTGCTTCTTTTTAGTGCATGGAGATATATTCTGCTTCAATGGATTTCAGACTGTCCCCACGGTTCCGCATTGGATTCGAAGTGTTATGGAACTTATTCCTTTAGACGCTATAAGCTTCTGGTTCAAGGACAAACCCTTTAACTTTTTTCACATATGGAACCCTTTTCTGGACTATATGGGAGATGAGGGGGCCCAAGCCCTCCGAAGTGGTCTCTACTAGGGCTGCACGATTTGGGGAAATAATCTAATTGCGATTTTTCTGACAGATATTGCGATTCGATTTGCGATATTTGTTTTTAAGCGACCCAGCGGAAGTTTATTGTAAAATGCGGCCATATCTCCGGCTAGGAAGGTCATATCAACGTGCTCCCGTCTCTAGCACCCCCGCAGCCCGAGCTACGAGTGAAAGAACTAAACTTACATGAAACTTCCGTTGGGTTGTTTTAAAGTCAAGCTTCAGTTTAAGACTCACCCTGTAATAGAAACATGTGATGGAGCATTACTAACCTGACTCAGATGCTTTGTTTCACCAAAGCATCTAGGAAAGCTCCATTGGAAGCCATTTGGAAAAGTATTTCAAAAATACTTGGCAGGTGATTGGATCAATCTGTCTATCACCTTCTATCATGGGCCACTTCTGATTGGTTAACAATGACTGGTACATGTGGAGCACAGCACTTCTGATTGGTGTGGATGACTGACACACAAGAAGAATCGCAGGCTTTGCGATTTGATAATTGCATTTAAAAATCGATTAATCGTTCAGCCCTAGTCTCTACGGACTAGCATGGACGGAGATTTCAAGGCTTATTTCCATATAGTTTGCAATGTCTGACAAGCTTTATGTAATTGTTGTGTCTGATCACCCTCCGTGTACACATCTGTATATTCCTTGTTGTGCTGTCTTGGTAATTTTCTTTGTATAATGTATTTGTTTTGGGGATTTCTTTCCTTATTTTTTTTCATAGGTCATTTATTTACACTTTTTATTATTTGATTTATGTGTGGAGAATGTGTTCTGCGTTTGGGATAAGTGGGGGGGGGGGGGGGGGGGGGTGGGTACATATTGGTATCATGCTCCTTCTTGATTGTGTTACCCTGTGAAAATTGAATAAATATATAGTTTTTGAAAACGCACCTCTCATGTTAGCGTTCATGCCTCCGCCTCCGCCCCCGGAGCCGTGGGAGTTCCCGTGTCCTCCGTGCCCGCCATGAGAGTTGCCGTGGCCCCCGTGAGAGTGGCCGTGCTCGCTGTGGGAGTGGCCGTGGTGAGAGTTACTTTTTTCTTCATGTGACGAGCAGCTTTTGCCGCCGTGGGAGTGAGCGTGACTGAAAGCGCAGATCCCCACCAGGTTCACCAGCAAGCCTCCGACTGACACCGGCTGCAGGAGACAGAAACACACTGAGCTTAGACTGAATGATGTCTAGTGACTTACTGAAAGGACATTAATAACTGATGGCATTCAGCGGCTTCCCAAATGTCATACTAATTTTATTTCATTCAAATCCCTCAAAACTCACCTTCTCACTCTAGCCTTCAACTCCTAATCCACTAACCACTCGCCCTTATTCCACCTAGCTTAGCACTTTTTACTCTTGTTGTTATTTTTCTTCTTTACTTGCTTGTAAAGCGGTTTGAGCACCAGGAAAAGCGCTATATAAATTACATGTATTATTATTATTATTATTATCATTATCATTTGATTACAGGGCTTGGTTGAATTCTTAATGCTGATTGGTCCATTTTGAACCTGCTCTTGCTAGCTGATCGCTCTGATCACTATGTGAAGTCTTATCAATCCACAGAAAGCAGACCGGTTCATTTAATGTTAGCAATGGACAGAAAAACACATTTTCTCCTCAACAAAACTGTGACATTTTTTTTTTTTATATTCATTTTTATGTGTTGAGAGCACAAAACTACTAAATACTTAAAAATAAAAAGCAATACTACTTCAGTTGTTTCTTGTGCATTTCGGTTAATAGAATCATCTGGAAAGGGCTTTGTATCAGACACCTTATATTGAATCAGGACATAACATGAATAGTACATCAGCAGGTTGTAGGTGCAGTTTACTCACTGTCAGCATGTCAGTGTTTATATTGGGAGGATCCAACACACGGGTGACTGACTCCACAAAGACAAAGAAAGCGATGACCATGAGAAACAGGCCGTTGATGAATCCAGAAAGTATTTCCACACGACCGAACCTGCAAAAAAACAACAGTCCACTTTTAGCCATCCAGCTGAATTCTCCAATAACTCCCATCCAAGAGCTTCCACATGTTGTTGATGGACGTTGTTGGGAAAATCCTGAATGTACTCTTCCAGTACACATGATAACCCTACGTAGCTGTGTACATGACAGGATGTATGATTACCTAGAAGAGCCTCAGGACTGTTTAGGCACATGATAGCTATGTGATTAACATGATGATTCAGCCTCTATGGAGATAGACATATGACAAGCATGATCATTTCTGACGTGGAGCTAATCTGAACTAAACATTGAATACTGCTTTATATTCCTCCATCTTGTGACTGTGTAACTCCCTCTCTTGTATATCAGCATGTGAAGGACACTGTTCAGGAACTAGTTGATGCTCTGTATGTGATGACTACTTCCATTCTGGAGAGGATCATAAATACATGGATCCTGAGATTGAAGCTCAAGCCGGTGACGAGTGATTAGTAAAATGTTTAAGTATTCAGAAAAAGTCCGAATTTTGGAGATTTTGAGAAAAAGTCAGAATTTTGAGAAAAAGTCAGAATTTTGAGAAGAAATTCAGAATTTTGAGAAAAAATTCAGAATTTTGAGGAAAAAAATCAGAATTTTGAGAAAAAAAGTCAGAATTTTGAGAAAAAAGTCAGAATTTTGAGATATTGAGAAAAAGTCAGAAGAGACGTTTACCCGTAGGAGAAGATCCTGGTAGCTTTCCAGCGAGTCATGAGCGCAGCGAACAGGCCGAGCACCAGAGCGGAGCAGTCGAACAGCATGTGGAAGCCGTCAGAGATCAGCCCCAGACTGTTGGTCCAAACGCCGTAAAACAGCTCCACGAAGGTGAACGCCTGGAACAGCACACCTCACGTTTACTCAAAATACACAAACTGTACACACTTATCACACGCTGGAAAAAGCTGGTGTCATGTATAGTATAACAAAAGGTTTATTAAGGTTGAAATGTAAGTAATATCTTGAAAATAAAGTATCTAACTGCTCCAATTTTGTATATTCAACATCCATATGTCCTTAAGCAGAATCTGCACAACCAGAGGGTGATAACTTACCGAAAATGTCATAAAATGTCAGCTTTTAAAAGTAAATAATTTGTGGCTAATTGTACAATTTTAATTAATGTTCAGGTGTTTAAACAGCCTAAATTCCTAGAGGTAGCTACCAAGTTTAGCAGAAACAATTTTTTCCTTTTAGTTTGGAGATATAATTTTATGCCACTTTTATCACCAAGATGTTGTAGGAGTTCGTGGGCGGCATCCACACAATGGCTGTCATTTTGAATGATTAATCTTTATTGATTAGTTGACATTAATACAGTTAGAACACTGCAGGTATCTTAAAGAAATAATTAAAAGTAAACTATTTCTAATGATTATGCTGTTAATGCTTAATTGATTTCTGTTATCTTTGTATTCATGCATATGCCGTCTTATTAATTATTAATCTATATTGAACAGAAAGTACGTTTTTCCTGTATAATAACAGATTTACTTTTTATTTTGTAAGCACTTTTACAGGTGCTCAAAGTCGCTTTACAGAGATGGTGAAAAGAAAAGAACAACAAATAAATATAGTTAAAGTCAAATAAAAATCAAGCAATACAAAAACATTCACACATTAAAAGCCAGATCGAAGAGGTGAGTTTTTGTAAGTTTTTTGAAGGTGGTGAGGTCAGTGCACTCTCTGATGGGTTGTGGGAGTATATCTAACTGATTGTCAAATTAAATTAATAAGAAGTGAAAGTATAATGTCTAATAAAATATAAAATAGAATTAAAATATTTGTAATAAGATAGAGAGTTTTAATTTGCCAATTTGAAATGTATAAATTCCCCTTCGCCATAATATCCTCAATATTTAGTCCTAGTTCAGTTGTGAGTTTTCTCTTCCTTACACTGTACGTACCAGGTTGAGACACAGGAAGTAGAAGATCTGTCTGGAGTCGTACTCCTCCAGGATTTGCTTCAAGGAATCTTTGATGAAGCGGGGGATCGACTGCGATGTGTGCTGCAGAGCGTCGCCCATGAAGTTGTAGAGGGGGGTCCCTTCAGGAGAGTAGCCCACCAGGGTGCCCTTCTGACCTTTCCTTGAGGGGGACGAGAGAATACTGGACGCTGCAGAGGGATGAGAAAGGAGAATAAATACATTTAAAGGTCCCATATCATACTGTTTTTCATCAATATATTATATGTCTCAGATATATACAAACATGTCTCTGAAGTGTTTGGCTCCAAACACCAAACCGATCATTGCAGCATCCCATAATCCCCTCTGTTTCAGCCCTGTTTCAAAAGTGCTGATTCTGTGTCTGTTACTTTAGATGAAAATAAGGAGCCCCTCCCCACGCCCCTCTGAGAGATATTTGGTTAAAAAGAACACAATGGTGCTCTAGGAGGAGATTCAGGTGATAAGGTGGGGGGGGGTGGTTACGTTGGTTGGTGATTGGCTAATGGTTACACAAGCCAAAACATCGTTATGACATCATTAAGTGGCCAAAATCTGATCAGCTCATTTTCAGACAGGTTTTTATATAAATGGATCAGGACAAAAAGAGAGAGAATCTTTTTTCGTGAAACTTTCAGAATCTCTTTACACAGAGGGGACACATGTTGATGTAGAAGAGACATGAAGAAGTGGATTTTGCATAATAGGTGACCTTTAACTTGAAAATATGGACAGAAAGCACAAGGAGCTTCAGGGGGATTGTGTAAAAACGAAATACCTCAATAATATCACTTCCCTATTTGATTACTTGCATTGAAACGATTACTTTTATTAAAATCCATCTTTGTTTTTTTTTTAAAGGCTATGTTTAAGCATGGAAATAAGCTTTTATCGTGTTAAATATTAGCTGGAACTGTTCTTTCAACGACAGATATGTAGACATTGGATAAAGGTTCAAAATTCATGTTTCAGTTTGTATTCAGTCCCGTTTTCTGAAATATTATGATTACATATGCAAATGCTTACTTTATATGAATGCAGGAGACTACAGATACAAATAGACAAAGTTACACATATTTGTTAAAGATAACAATATGTATACCTGTAGGGTCTTGATTTAAGCTTTTGAGTCTGAATGTTGATATAAAATAAGAAAATCAGGGCTGGGAATGTGCAGCAAAGAAGTGGAATGATCTAAGATGATGTTTACATGATCTATTACTATGTTGACTCCTTAGAGCTCTCCGTTACTTACACATGATGAAGAAGATGGCGCTGACGATGACCCCCCCCGAGAGCACGTGCTCGGTGCTGACCTGCTGGGGGGGTTTGCTCATGGAGCGCAGCTGGTCGGTGAGCGGGTGGGTCCAGAAGTTGGCCAGCAGCAGGGCGCTGAGGAAGAGGGCGATGGCTCCGTAGCGGGCGCACCTCGGCGCCTCCATCTTGGTGTTGCAGATGGCCTCCACGTAAAACTCCAGGATCATCACGGAGAGGATGATCATCCCGAACGGCAGGATGAGGGACGACCACGACTCCACTTTACTCTGGGGGGACGGGGACGGAGTGGAAAGACAGTCAGGGAGGAATTCAGGGGTAAAAACTATAATTAAAACACTTAATTTTTCTGAATTAAATTAGACATGGACCTCCAGGGTTACTCCAAACACCAGTTAGTCGCCGTGATCAATAAAACTAAGCGGTGCATTCTTGGCTTAATTCATAAGTACAGATGTCATAAATCAACTTTAATTTAGTCAAATAACGCTCCTCTGCCTTTGTGAAAAGTTTCTCTTTGTAAAGGTATTTATCTTGCGCTTTTACAGCTGACAGACGACATTTGAGAGCTGATATTATAGGCTGTGAAGATGGCCATGCCGCCCCAGAATGCATGGCCGTTCCAATTTATTTTATACAGTAAAGTTCAAGAAATGTAGGAAATCTTACTGGTTGGGTCATTAAAATTGTCATTTAAATGTATGGTAAACTGAACAAGTGTCCTTAGGAGTATCTCAGTTTTGAAAGGCTAAATTGAATTATCTAAATAAACAAGAACAGCTCATTATTGCTGTGTCTCAATTCTCATTGTTAAACTGCCATGTCGTATACTCTTAACACAGTGTGGGGATTTTGACCGGGATGACTTTGCAGTTGGTAGCTAGCTAGTTAGCATAATTTGCAATACCGAATTATTGCTCAATTAACACAGTAAAAACCACAATGACCGCTTTCGAAACAACAGTATAGTGGTACGTTTATTCAAGAGAAGGGTCCAGCGTTCCACACTCAACTTATTGACCGTTATGAGTGAATCCATTTAGCTTTGTGATGCCAAAGGGGACAAAAAACGGACTTTGATGCATGTTCAGATTTCTCATGTTCTGTTGACTCACTTCTGTAGTCGCTGAGAGCACGATGACCCAGGGCAGCAGCACCACAGCAGAAACCAGGTTGTCCAGAGCGTAGAGGCGTTTGGCTCCACCGATTTCCACAGACAGTTTCCTGGAGGCCGTGTGAAACGCCACCTTCATACACAGGGAGGCCACCAGCAGAACAACTCCACCCTGATGGGAGGAACGTGATGTTAGCAGGCAGAGATACACTTAAAATGCTTGTGTAGGCAGCATTTAACGTGTGCTTTGCTTACTTTGTGATCTGCAACCCCTAAAAAGGCAATGGCAGTGTAGAGGAAATGAGTCAGCGCGCTGTCATGGTGACCCTCAGCTGGTTAGAAAATGAGTCAAGGAGAAAACACTACAAACAGAGAAGTAGGATGACGAACAGAAGAAGATCAGCTCAATGACAAATCCGAATAATTAGCAAAGGATACGGTGCTCGGCCATCTTTGCCATGAGATCGTCGTTGTCAAAGAGCAGGAGGCAGATCACGGCGATGATGAAGAGAGCAGCGCCTCTGGTCTGCGAAAAACCACAGAAATGCAAATTACACACTTCTACAATACACAGTTTCATTTCACTCAGGGTCAAAATAACCCACGTTTTCTTATCCACAATTGTATGACTCTTAACTCCAGGGAATATAAAAGTGTGTTTATCTTAATTGTATGTTTAATTCACCACTTTGATCTTGAAATGTTAATTTAATGGTTGTTTCTTAAAATATTACCTCTTCTTCCTATTCTGTAAAGGGATGTATTTTTTTGTTAACCTTCAATGGCCGTACTATGCCATTGTACAGATCTTATCAATTATCTTCATCTGAATAATGGTTAAAAAAACTAAAATAGGACAAACGTTGTATGAAATATATTTTTTTTATCGTTTCTTTTGTATCTTGTTTTTATGTTGCTTGAACTGAAAACAACATATCTGACACAATAATACATTAATAAATAATTGAGAGTAAAATACAGACATGTTTTCATTTAGCCCTCGTACCTTGGATGGCCCCCCTCCTGTGCTTGTGAACAAAACACCGAGAAGAGCAATGACCACCACATCACTGTGCTCAAAAAGCAACAGCGTCCTGTAAAACACACAAAGCAGAATTGAATATTAATAATAATAATACGTTTATTTATTATAGCACCTTTCACAGAAATAGATTTCACAAAGTGCTTCACAAGTACAAAAATAAAAATTAAGACCACATAAACATGAATAAAATAACCACATGAGACATATGTTTAAGGTCAACATAAAAACAAAACACAGACCACGTGGAGTCCTGAAAGGAACAAACATAATAACAGGGAATCACACCCTATAAACCACATGTGTCAAACTCAAGGCCCGGGGGCCAAATCAGGCCCGTGGTGGATTTAATTTCGGCCCGCAGGATAATTTTTAATTACTATTAGATCTGGCCCTCCGGTATATTGCACGCACACCTTCACTCAATCCTGAGGGTTTCCTCAGCTCAGAGCCTGAGCCCAAACATTGATGACCTTGCACCCAAGATGAGATGCCAAGTATCTGGCTTAAACTAGCATCACAGAGCAGCACACTGAGTTTCAATGGATGTTTCCTTTCTGCACTTTTTCTCTCAAGACAAGAGGGCATGTTTGGTTTTTTCTTTGAGGGAAATAGTTTTTTTGAAGCTGTTGTTGGCCTGTGGGAAAATGTAATCATAAGAAATGACTCTGGAAAAGCTGCAGATAGAGCCATAAGAAATGAATGCAACTGATTATTTAATGTTTAATGTTGTTTTTATAGGCAATAATTTAAGCTTTGTTAGTCCCAGGTTTAATATGTGCAATAAGTTCATTTCAATAAGTTCTGCAATAAACATTGAACCAGTCCGGCCCTAGACTAGTACCGATTTTTTTATTTTGGCCCACTGTGTATTTGAGTTTGACACCCCTGATACACAAAATAGTTTTAATTGCGACACATCCAAAGACATAAAACACACAGCTTGGTGAGTCCATAACAACTCACCAAGAACCACCATGTCTTGGATTTTCTGAAACTATCCATGGAAAAAGTTTTCAATAAAGTAATGTGGCCTTGCCAAAACTATAGCACTTATCCAAATACCTTTCCAGAAGTGGTAGTAATAGATTTGTAAGTTTGTGTATTCTAATGAAGGAGTAATATAAAAACGTTTGACTCATCTGTAATGTATATTAACAGATTCCTTTCTAAAAAAATATATCTAAATAAGTTAAGCTTCAACGCTATACTTAGTAAGATCTGTCACACATTTCTTATGCATGACCAAATAAATTCAAGGTGTGATAGAACTGTATGAATATACTACACAGGTTAAACATTACATTTCAGGAAAGTCAAAGAACTAATGAAAAACTGGTATAAATTAATATATTATGAGGTATAAAAAAAGGGTGAAATATAGTTTTTATTATATATATTTAAAAGAATGTTGGAAATAATTCACAGGTTTACATGGATGTTCAGTAATTCCATCTGATCTAATGATATGCAGTGCCAAAAATGTATAACTAACCAAATATTTGGAATTGACCTATAAGATATTTGGCAAGGTCCCATGAATTTAATCAGATTTTCACATATCTTTTTGAATAAAATTATATGATAACATCTGGGAGGTCTTGATGTGGAATGGCCCAGTTAATACCACACAAATATGTTCATGCACACAGCGGTGTTGTCTTGAATTGCTGTAAAAAAAAACACACATTTACAGTGACACGTTACCTCAGAGGTCCACAGAGAGTTAGCCCGAAGAAGCCCAGGAGGGAAATGATGCAGCTGAAAACTGCATGCTTCAGTAACTTTATCCACTAGAAAGAAAACAGTGTAAAAAGAGAAATCATCATTATGGCAGGTCAACAAAGTGACTTTACGGAGGCATTCATTTCATTTCATTTCATTTCAATCTTTATTTCGAACAGATTAAAAAAAAAGAATAAATAACAAATGTGAAAAACAGAATACCGTATTGTTAAAATACAGTATTTATCCACATTCACGATAATATTTATATATTCAACAAAAAAAGTCTTCATATTAATAATAATAATAATAATAATTAAAAAAACTTTACAGACAGAAGACGAAGAAATCCCACTCACTTGTCTTTTTGAGACGACTTTGCCAGAGGAGAACGGCTTTTGAAAGAAAAGCAGGATAACAGCACTCCTAGAAAAGGAAAAGGATGCTTACATACATGTAGTAAAAATTATAAAAAGAATTACAAGTTTGATGACATTGATGAAATGAAATATAAGCAACTAATAGGCTACTTACCCTAATTTGAGTATAAAGATGAACTGGACAATGTGGACAACTTTGAGTATATCATAAGATTCAAATATCCCAAGAGCCTTGAGGACCTTCGTGACGATCAGTAAAACTATATATCTGGTTAACCTGAGGAGGAAAAGAAAGATGTATTAGTTCTTGAGAGAAAAGATTGCACATTCATTGAGTTTTGGCACTATTTTATTTGGAGGATTTCTAAAAACAATAAAAAATAAGGCACTTTTTGAACATTTAACCTTGTGAACAGGTCACACTGGAAATTGAGCATAATAGGGCCCTTTAAAACATTGTTCAACAACCTCCTCTGCTCATCTCTCTTCTAATCTATTATTGACATCAACATTTCTCAAATACTTGTTTTTATTTACAAGATAGTGTCAAGTGAAGAGAATATTCCTGAGCATTTCAAACCTAGTTAAAAGTGAAATAACAGGTTCATTTTAACTTCAAACTTCAGATCTTCATCCACTCAACTCTACACTTACATAATGTCAATTTTCCATCAGATTTAGAGGTACCAAATTATGAAATGGCTTTTCCTGCCTGACAAAACACTGTTCTGCTGTGAAATGTTTCAGAGATCATGGATGAGATAAAAACAGATACATACCTAGAATTGGGCACCTCGACCATGCCCAGTTTCCCCCCTGAGAGTACATTGCTGCTGTATTTATCTTCCATCTTAAAGCTCCAGTTAAAGTCCAGTTGAAGTATTTAAATCCCCAATACCCTAAACATTACCTTAAAAGTGACATTAAACCGCAGCCAATTTACTGGTAAAGAGTATAGCCATTCTTCCGTTAGCTTTTAATCATTCTTTCGTTAAAACGTAACCGTTAGTTTGTTAAATTAACTGTAAACATTCAGCTGGTAGCTTCTTAGTCTATTAGCTTGCTAGCTAGCCATCTGTTATGCTAGCTAAGATTGTATCCAAAGTTATTAGCTGCGACTCGTGCTGCGCGTGCTGTGTTCGTCTTATGAACACATGCAGTTGCTTAGTAAGAGGTAGGAAATTAATAATGTTAAAACTGAGCTGACAGCTTCAATAAATATGGTAAATTATCCGGACTGGACAAAAAGCCACAGCATTTCCGGACACGGTAGACAGGTCCACGTCACGTCACGTCACGTGTGTGTTTGCGACCGTTGCTGCTGCGCACTGATACGCAGACGATGACGATGAGGACATAAAAGTACAATTTACAAATGTTCTGAAAAGGGTGCACAAAGAAATGTAATACATGTTAGTAAACTTGAAATAGAAAATGTAAAAAAAAAAAATTGCTCCAGCTTTGCAGCAAAAGGGCGCAGGAACTGCACTTAAGAAAAAGGTTTGCCTGAATTAAATGTTGTCTTTTATTTTCTTGTCAGAGAGTAACAGAATGCGTAACATGTTAAAAGAAACAAAAAATCACTTCACACATCTCCTAACACTTCCCCTGGTGGTTTGACTACGTTAATAACATCTGTGTAACTGTAAGGTATAAAGGCTTTGGCATCAAGGATTTTTTTTATTGCATTTCTTAATTTTAGTGGATATTCTTTAAGCAACTTTTTATTATTTTAATTATGTTTTATGGCCAGACAGCCCAAAATGTACTACGAGGATGTGGATCTGAACCCACGTGACGTCTCACAGTGATTTAGAAGTGGACTATGGGCTCAGAACAGTCTGCTTCAACCAAGGATTGATTTGAAGTGACTCCATCACATGACCTTTTGTTTGGTCGGTAGGGGGCGTCTCCTTTAGGCTGGCAAGGACACAAGATATTTCAAAACATGAAAACTCCGTAAGTAATATATTTCATTCTTATTTTTATCACTTAATTTTTTTGTTTTAGTAAAACATTTTTTTATATTTATATATGAAACATCTTTATATAATTGTATTCAATTTTTTTTTATTTTATTTATTTTATTTATTTTATTTATTTTATTTATTTTATTTATTTTATTTATTTTATTTATTTTATTTATTTTATTTATTTTATTTATTTTATTTATTTTATTTAATAATTTGTATTCGTATTTAATTATTTTAATTGCGGGGGAGGGGCGTCTACCTAAGGCTGTTAAAAAAGCTTTAGCATTTCTATTATTATGTTAGCCTATAACAAATGATTAGCCATTTTGTGTGAGATATAAATCAATATACTAGTGGAAATAATTATTTCTAGAGAAAAAATACATAGATAACACATTATCAAAAAGAGAAACAGAAACAGCAGACAAGAAGTGCATGAGATGTTTTTTTATTTTTGGTGGGAACAACTCAATAAAACAGATTGATCACGGTATTCGTCATAACTTTCAAAGATGTAAAATGTGTTTATAATCCAGGGGACAGAATGGTCTACATTTCCAGAAGAGTGGTTTCCCGAAGAATTTCAGTGAGCTCCACACAGTCCGAGCAGGACGCTCTCATAATGTCCCTTAGTGTCCATCTGTAAACAAAAACAAAAGTGCTCAGCTGAAAAACCCTCATATTACATCTTTGTTTCTGTACGGTATGAGTGAGTGACAGAACTCTAGGGCACTAGGTGTGTCATTTTACCAGAATGGCCTCCTGTAGGCTGACGTCATACATGGCCCTGTATTCCTCAATAATCTTCTTTAGGTCGACCTCAGAGCGGCTCACCATCACTCGGATCAGAGTGTCCTCACATGTGCCGTGGCCCTGTGAGAACGTAGCAGAGGTGTAAACACTGAGCAGGTAGAAGGCAAACATCTTCGCTTCGCAGTAAATATGGGACAAAGTCCTTGTGTTGCAAATCACAAGTAAATATTGTGCTCAAGTTGTTATTTAAGACAAGTTTGGAGACGATTCCCAAGAGTTACGAATCAAGACCAAGTCCTACATGGAAGTCCTAAACCCTCAAACGAGTCATAATGCATCTGTAATAATTGACACGGATGTTTTGCTTAAATCTGTTTTAAGTTGACCACATTATACGTTTTTTTTTATTGTATGTTCTCCTGGGACTCAGTAACATAACGCCTGTTTGACATGTTTCTCTCCTGCAACCTGATTGGATGCTCTCACATTGGTTTGTATGAAAGTGGTCAGGGGGAATTTTGGTTCGACTCGCTGTGAAAAATTTGTGTTAATTAGTTGATTCAGGAAATTAATTGATTCATGGCACCATTTTTGAATAACATCTTTGGGCTTGGGGGAAGTTATCAAGTATGTTTTAGGTCAAAAGGCTCAAGTCCAAGTTGAGTATCAAATCATGTGACTCGGGTCAACACTTCGGTTCTGTTTGTATGATATCAGGTAAAGTTATGCACCATCATGTTGGTTGCAAAACAAGGATTCCTAGTTTTTACATATTATTCATAAGAAATGCAGCATATTATTGGGGATTTTACAATTCTTGCCCCACTTAAAATAAATTCCAAAGCAGGCATCACAAAGAAAAACACATACACCATTATTAAGATAACTTTCTTAATTACATGAGCAAAATTAGAACACAAAATGCCTGTGGAAACGTGACACACACAAACACACACACACACACTCCGACATATGGTGAGAAAAGGAAGGAGATATTCACACACCTTCATAGCCAGATGGAGCTTCTCAGCAAAGACAGCGGCTTTGTTCCAGGAACATTTTACTAAACGTCAAAAAGAAAAAACATTCCAGCTGAAAAGATGCAGTATGCAGATGTTTAGGCTAAAGAAGTCCATACAAGGTTTTCGAAGCATGACGTGCAGACAGTATGGTATCGTCTATCCATGTTCAAAGCTTCACCTCCTATTACAGCTGGAATCATTTTGTTGATACAGTATGTGCTCAAAAAGGTTTTCTGCACTCCCTTTGATTGTTATGGGTCTTTGTGACTCTCACTCTCCTTCCAGGTTTTCCCTCTGGACACCACATGTTGCAGACTTAACAATTGTGATGATTTATGTTCCGCAGAATCAAACCCTCTTGTCCAGCTATCGGTATTTACAAGCCTGGCAATGTCCAACAGTCCATTCATCCATTCACCAATCTGGAAATATGTTGTAAAATGTCTTGAAAATCACTGGACATATTTCCATTAAATATACTTTGGGAATTCAGGCTATATTTGTTGGATTTTCTGACCATTCCTATTCACAATGATGCCAGATCTTTACTTGTACACAACAAATATCAAACCATTATTTGCAAGCTTACATCAAAAGTAAATGGCAATACGTTGGTATAAAGAATAAGTAGGTATAAATTGCATGCATGCTCCCCGGAAGATAGATCCTTATAATCCTATTACCTTACTTCCTCAGTGCTTACTACTTCAGAACAAATGTTTCCCTTTTATTAAACAATAACTGAAATAAATGAAGACCATTCCTTACCAATGTCAATGAGACATTCTTCAATGTCTCCCTTCAGCTCCAAATCCAGGGCTTTAGGTAATGAGATGTCACTGACAGCGGCGTAGTGCTGGAATGCTAACAGGTAAACACAAATAAAAGGGATGTATGAGACAGACAGAAAGGCAGACGTTTTTACAAAAAGTTATAGAAGTAAAGTTGGGAAATATGTGCATTTATTCAAAATATATTGTGAAATTTAAAAAGGCACCTTTAGCTGGATTTAAAGTATCTTTTGAATGTATACTCTACAAAGGCTAAACCATATATTATTACCATATCGAGAGAGAATGTGTGCCTAAGTAACTTTTTGCACTGTAACTTTTATGAATGTATCTTTGCTTTTACATGAGTGTTTTTAAATGCCTTGCCTTGCCTTGCCTTGCCTTGCCTAAGTACATCTACACTTTCAAAAAACTGCTCTCATAGTCCTGTTTTTATCTTTAAGAAATCCGCCCTACTATTCCCCATATTATTACTACACTGCTGGGTGTGTTCCACCTGCTACAAAAAAGTGTGGTTCCACCGGTTCTCCAGGTGTGTGTTCAGCCTCTAATGAGTCAAACCTAAAAGCTGAAACTCTCAAATATTTCAACACTTACTCTTGGTGAGCTGCGGCCCGCTGCGTTTGGACAGGATGTCGATGAAGGCAGAAACATCGGTTCCTTTGGTGTTCTCCCCGGCCTCAAACAGAATCTGCGGGGTACAAAACAGTAACACGCCATTACCCGTTAATATTGTTCTCTACAAGACTTACACATTCATGTATGTTACGATTCCATTGCTATTGAGATGACCATATACAATAAATAAAGTATATTCTGCACCAGATTTCTTTTGAGCCATTGGCCGTGTTGATTTTTCTGTCACGGCGAGCGTGAAACCTAGAATAAAACTAACATCCGGGGTTGAAAGGGAGGGTCATTTACAACAGCAAAAAAAAAAAAACGTCTAACTGGAAAGATCATCCGTCAAATTCCGGGAGTGGCAAGAGACTTAAATATATGACAAAATAACAAGGTGGGTACTTGACCCCGGAGGTGTCATGCCTCCTTTACGCCATAACAAGGCAACCGTATTTCCAGCAGGTGAGAACGCTTCTGACACGGACAATTCCTTGATGTATGAAGGGCAATTTCCAGACAATGTGCACACCGGATTCTACGGATATTGTCATATGAGAAAACCGTTCAAAACGTTTGTGTTAGGGTCATAAAGTAGCGTTCATTTTGTTTTCTTCATGGGACCTTAGTTTAGTAAATATTGAAATGATGCCCGCCTTATTATCTAAAAAGTGATTTTTTCCAGATTTTACCTCTGCGTCTTTTCGGGCCAGATCATGGTCGATTTCCACACTTTCATCTTTTTGTGCTTTCAACAGGGCCAGAAGAGCCGTGGTGAAGTCACCGCTGGTCTCCTCCTTAATGACTTCCTCCAGCTCCTCTTGGTACTCTGAGGGACAAAGGTAGACATTGCAGTACGATAATGGGACATACTATAACTGCAGTGGTTATAGCTGTTGTTCAGGCATACAATCCTCATGACTGCGTGATTACAGAGCTGCACTGTCGAGGAAATCAGTGTTGTTCGAATGTTGCAAACACAAAAAACATCCTCAAGAATTTCAGTAAATACCTAAGATGTTACAAACAGAACTCAGCATGTTCCCCAACTAATAACAGAGATAAACATTGACTCAGTCCAAACCTTCTTTGAAGACTCTCTTGATCTCTCGAATCTCTTGGTTTGATCTTGTTGCCAGAACCTCCACAAGGACGTGTTCATGTGTGCCGAAACCCTGTTGAATACAGCAATAGAATAGCTAGGAATTCCCATATATATCTATCTAAAATGTGTTTCAAAGGACTCCTCAAACATAACTAAACAAAGAGTAAAAATGTCTGGATAAGTCCTTTTGGCCTACATTTATGTGGTTTCAAATTAATCTGAAAAATGTTTTTACGACTCTCTGTCGGAGTGTGTGGGAGTTCACTGCTTTAGACTTAGTCTAATTTTCTCATAATGTAGAAGACCGCAAAGCCAAAGTCTCTGAATGTAAAACTGAGCACGAAACTAAATACTAAGAACCTTGGACAGTCCCTGCTGGCAGAACAAACTGTGAAATGGAAAGGATCTTGGAGAATTCATATTTGGAATTGATCTCCTCTCATATTTAGTACAACGACCACTGATATTTACCTTTGTGGCCTTCCTGAGCAGGTAGGCATCAAAGTGAGGGGGATCCATGAGCAGAGCCAGAGAAACGTCCTCTAAATCTGACCTGAGAGCCGACTTTAGAGCTTTTTCCAGACTCTGCAAGACACAACAAGCATAAAGTTACATTACAATCATGGCCATTATTTAGGTGTGTGTTTGAGGTTGCATTTTGGTGATAGATAGATAGATAGATAGATAGATAGATAGATAGATAGATAGATAGATAGATAGATAGATAGATAGATAGATAGATAGATAGATAGATAGATAGATAGATAGATAGATAGATAGATAGATAGCTAGATAGATAGATAGATAGATAGAGAGATAGATAGAGAGCGCGAGCGCGCGCGCGCGCGCGCGAGCGCTCGCTCGCTCGCTCGCTCGCTGCTCGCTCGCGCTCGCTCGCTCGCGCTCGCTCGCTCGCGCTCGCTCGCTCGCTCGCTCGATAGATCGCTAGATCGCTCGATCGCTAGATAGAATCGGGTGGAAATCGTGAGAAGATAGAACATTTTAGCACAAATGACAATGAGTCAGTAATCAAGACAGTAATGTTAGTTACACAGCAGCAGCTTTTTAAAAGTGTGCTAACTACGTAGCCACCATAATACTGGTCATACCAGACCAAGCTATTTCTTTCTTTCTAAATAAGTTTCAGACGTCTTGCTTTATGTGGACAAAAATGATGTTGTGACAAGTCAAACAAAAAGGTTTATACATTGAGTAAATATGAAATGCAATAGCAGCTTTCATTCAAATGCAGCGGATCTGCATTGTATGCCCAACATTTAACCTAGTTTGTGTTGCAAATCTGCAAATTGACATAGTGAAGTCAAGGAGACTTCACTATGGACGCTGGAACTTCATTGTGTCCTTATTTTTTTATTTGGGCTCTTCTTGATGCTGATGTATCATTATTTGGTCTTAACAAGAAATGAATCACTTACCTTGCCCGTGGACGCTTCATAAACTACTTTGATCTTCTGTCTCTGGTCATTGCTCCTCTTCACCAGGACTGCGATGATCACATCCTTATCCACTTCTGTGAGGGACAAGATGTACTTTAGCTTACTTTCTTTAAACCCCTGAGACCCTCTATGTCAGAAATGTAGAGGCACACACACCGTCTTTCTCAATGGCGCTCTGAAGAGCGGAAGCATCACTGCTGGCGTTGAAGTTGGGATACGGGACGACTGTTCCATAATACTTAGGCTTCGGCTTACCCTTTACCTAGAACAACAGGCAGAAATGTGGATGTTTTTATGTTTGTTGTGTTTATTTTTCAGTTTTTCACAGATATTTCACAGATATTTCACAGACAGTCCAACATTCATGACAAAAAGTTGCAAACCAAAATGTGGATGCTTTAATGACTTGAGCTGCTGTAAAGCACTAGGAATTCAAAGCTTAAGATAATTAAGTTTATAGGATGATTTTTGATTAATTTGAGTTTCATAACAGCGCAGAATTACAGGAATAATGGCAAAGATATGTGATGTTATTAGGTAGAGGTGAGATGGCTGACGGAGATATAGACAGCTGTCAGCATGTCATTTTATATAAAACTACAAATGCTAGTTCAGTACACTTAAACTGATATAACCTTTTTGAGCTTTCATTAGATCTCTTAAATATGTTGTTCTGTTGCGTCCACATTGTTTTGTTTCTAAGTTACACCCAAACTGGGCGCGTGCCGACTCCCATCTGCTGTTACACTGACTTTGAAAAGTGCCTCATACAACTTACCTCAAAAATCTGAGCTATCACATAAAGAAAATATTATGTACAACATGTCAATAATCCATATATCAGATCTGATACTCACGAAGACGGTGTCTTCGTCTGGCTTTATTTTACGTATGACCTTGTTGAACAAATTCTTGAACAGGGACATGTTTACTTGGCTGGAAAGTTATAAGCAGAAAACAATATATATAATTAAAGAGGAAAAAATTAAACATGAAATAGAAAGTAAAGAAGTTAACCTTGGTTTAAATACTTATACATATTTAAACATCCCAACAAATCTCACCTGGGATGCTGCAGACGATGCTCAAACCAAAGTTTGTAGTTCTCATGTGTTAGACGCAGTATTTAACTCATTCTGCAGCGGCCCCACCCATCTCTATGCAGATGATATTCAGACAGGTTTGTATGCACCTACAGGGGATCAGCCAATCACAGGCCACCTCTCAAAGACAACATTCCTGCAGGGTGACAGTCAGAGCTCCATACAGGTTGGGTTACTCTTCTGTAAAAGCTTGTATTGTAAGCTAAAACCACTTCACCCTTAAATTAAACAACTTATTTTTCAGACATTGAGGATAGTGGATAGTTCAGATTTTTGAAAAGGGGTTGTATGAGGGACTTATCCTTAGTCATTGTAGTAGTTAAAGCCCATAAACAAACAGGATTACCAGCTCAGAAGCTAAGAAATGTATTGCTGTGGATGGGTGCGGCAGCTAAGTGTTTTAGCCACCAAAATAAGTTCAATCAGGAGAGACGGTTTTGATGTAATAATACATATTGATTGCGCAGATGCACAAATGAATGCAATGGTAATTTTGGCGATTAGGCCCCGTTGTGCAGGAAGTATCATTTGGGAGGGTAGAACCGATCCGATGAAACCCCCCTGGGGTCTAGACACTGGTGGTGATGAATGGATAGTTGGGTCGGTCTGAAGAGGAGTGGTTTAGCTTGACCCTGGATTCAGAGGGACAGGAGGTGAAAAGGGGGTGGAGGAGGGTTGCGCCGATTCACCTGGAATGAGAGCTGTCAGAGGGGAGAGCAGATTTAAAAGGTTTGACGGAGCGCTATGATAGGCTCTTGGGAATAGAGCGAAGTGATTGGTTAAGCTGAAGAGTGACGCCTCCGGTCACTTATTGAGAGGAGAGAGAGTAATAACATGGGAATAGAAATACATGAATGAGTAGAGACGGTCTTCCTGGTTGAACTTGCGCTGAGCTTCATTTAGCATGCTAACAGTTACATTACATTTCATTACATGTCATTTGTTAGATGCTTTTATCCAAAGCGACTAACATACATTCAGGGACACAACGACATGCTGACTGCAGTGGGACTCAAACTTGCTACCCCCTGGATCGAAGACCCTGATTCAAAGTCCAGCACTCTATCCACTTAGCCACAGCAGCCACAGTTAAAGTTGTACGCTATATTTAACATATTTATATCCCTATGTTGTTTTCAAAGTCACAAAGCCAATATCTATGCTCACTACAACAGACACCACACTCCACAAAAAAAAACTGTAATTTGTTCAGAACACAGTAGGCCTATTTGATCCCATATTGTAGCTAGCATCAAGGCTACCTTAGCTACTACCATATTACACCTGAATCTCCAACCAAACTTTATTGGTCTCGTTGGATTTTTCATTTCCTGCATGTTTTTGCAGTGTGATATAAATAATGTAGAAGCTTTCAGATTGCTGTAGTTCACTAAACAGAGACATTAACGACAGGTGTTGAAAATGTCCAAAAAAGTGAAAGAATGGGAGATAAATGTCCCAAAATCTCAAAATTGTATTGTATTTTTTGTGTGTTTGTGGTCCTCTTTCAGTTGAGACACTGTAGGATGCTTCCGGAAAAGACCAAACACTGGATGTCTTTAGGTTTTCGAGACACTGATATTAACGGGGAAACCCTGCAGGACTCAAATGCCTCGTCTCTGTTCCCCTAAACTCATTTGGGAGTGATGACTGATTATTATCAGTCCCGGGGGACTGCGGCAGGCTGGCTTGACTGTGTTTTCCGAAGTGGAGGCTGGCTTGACCGCAGTCCCGGGGGTAACGCTGCCCTTCCTCTGCACGTTGTTTTTCTTTCAGAAACACAGAGGACTGTTTGTATGATGAGATCACAGACACGCTGCAATCGGTTTCCGCTAAAAGTCGAGTCCAGTGTCTATGGAGTGTCATTTTTATTTTTCATAATTTGGGAAGAATGAAATTCGGTAGGAAAAGCCAGCTAAATCGGTAGGCGGTAGAAACATGTCAAAAGCGGTAGACTACCGCCCAAATCTTGTAGGGTTGGCAGGTCAATCATGACTGACAGTTTTATCACATCACCATGCTTAATCAGTGGACTGCTCTTACAAAGTGACATGAATACATTTAAGAAATCAAACCAACAACAGAAATGTTAGGAGTTGTTGGGGTGTGGCTATTAGCATGAGTAAACTAAAATAGAGAAAATGAAAACGTTTTAAACAGAAATAATGCAGTATAAAATACAATGAAAATGTATATAAACTGATATGCTACACAGATGTTATTAAAAGATTTTAAACTTTATTTAAAGACAGAATCATACCATGAATTACAAAGTCAGTGTACATGTAAAACAAAACAGCCTGAGTACACATTACCACTAAATAACATGTTTCTGTATGTATTGTAAATGTAAGCAAAAATACACAAGGAGTTATCTTGATATATGAAAATAATGTTAGTCCACAGAGAACCTCACCAGAGAAAATAATGTTAGTCCACAGAGAACCTCACCAGTAGCTACCCAAGTTAAGACAAAGGTGTTTCCAACAGATATCCTAAAGCCAGGCAGTTACTGTATGGACGGTAATATTTGACCCACTGTGGTTTAAACATCTCTATAAATAGTAGGCAAGGTGGACAAGATTTATGTATCCACAGCGCTCTGGTTTCTGTTTACATTTTGAGAAGTATTGACAAATTCTGTTTGAGCAGGCATCGGTTGAATGCAGGCTTCAGTCCGTTTGGAGAGCAATACTGAACACATTGACCAAAATGCAATCTGGGAACCCATAAGCCTAAGCATAGGCATAAGACAAGCTTAACGAAAAGCATAGCACACTTCTCCTCAAATGATGGGTTGCTCAAGATAAAATATAGAGATCTTTACAGCACTGTGTTGCAAAACAATACTGTAGGCAACATTTTGTAGAGCTGTATTCTTCAAAAATGACCTTCAGTATTCTTTGAACTTTTGATGTCAGTAAGGAAATATGCAGACCAAATGAAGGTGCCTGTTTAAGTCTCATGCTGTAAAATGAACTGAGGCATGAACACAGCCTTCAGGAATGGTTTTCACACTGTTATCTCGGAGGGGGCCCTCTACCTCGACCTCGTCCAGGACCAGGACCCCCAGGACCCTGACCCCGTCCAGGACCCTGACCCCGTCCAGGACCAGGACCCTGACCCCGTCCAGGACCAGGACCCTGACCCCGTCCAGGACCCTGACCCGGTCCGGCTCCCCTCGGCCCAGGAGAACGGTTCACCGGCCCTCGAGCGTTGGGGTTGGGCGATGCCAGAGCCACATCTTTCTGCAGATTAACGCCTTTACCCGCTGACCCCGGCTTGGTCTTAGTTAACCTTGATTCCGGTTCTGGTGGTTTTTCTGTTTAAAAATATAAAAAGAGATGAATCAGCTGAATATCTATATTTCCAGTCACATGTATTGAATCCACAACCTTAACACTTCAAACACACAAACACAAACACACTAACTTGACTTTCTATCAGAGGCATTTTTGTATTGTTATAGTCTGTTATACAGAGGAATATTTATAATAACACAATTTCATATAAGAGACTACATTATATCATTAAGCCGATCAATGTTCTAGCAAACGGTTTAACCTCACCTCCCCACTAAGCTAAAGTTTCTTCTACAGAGTATCCTAAAATACTCCTGAGCTGGGATTCCTCGCTGGGAGTTTTAGGCTCAGTTGTTTGTAATGTTTGTGAATACGTTTACTGACCAGGCTCTGGTGGAGCCATGAGGGATCCTCTGGGCAGCAGGTCCTCCAGGTCTTTCATCACCTGGTTTGTGCTGTCCGTGTTGTTCCTCCGGTTCTTCTCTTCATCTCGAGCCTAGGGCAAAGATGGAGGGAGAGAGAAAGAGGGGTGGGGGACAGAAAAAATGGGAAACGTAAGAGATTCAGAAACATTTTGGAAGAGAGAAAGAATAATTAGTAAGGCGAAAAACATTGTTTTCTTGCTAAAATAAATGAATAAATCCGACGAAAAGACCAAAACATCAAATGTATCCAGCTTTCAAAACATTGTCTGCCACAAGTCTATTGGTTCTTACTGAACAATATTTTTTTAATGATTTACAAACTTTCCTCAAATCACTGGTCAGTGTAGTTTCTATCAAGTGTTACTTAAACAGGAGTAAAAAGGGCATTTGTTGGGGACTATTTGCTGCTGCAGAATAATATAGATTGAGTGCTCCAGTGAGTATTTACAACAGCAGGATGATCTAATTGAGATTGAAACCAAAATAAACATGCTAACTTGTTAAAGCTAACTATGTCAACATGCTTATGTTTAGAAGGTAGATTTTATATTATGCTTGCCAATTTGGCCTGTAGGAATGTCTTAGTTTTGCAAATTCTACTGACTACGCCACACCTTGAGGCAGTTTGTGTGGTAATAATAATAATAATAATGGGTTCCATTTATAAAGCACTTCATATTTGATTTCAAATCCCGAAGTGCTACAAGCAGTGAGCATGAACAGTATAAATAAACATTACACAACACGGTAAATTACTTTGAGCACTAAGATGCACTTATTCTAATCTTGGCTAAATGATTCTGTAAATTCAGTAGTTTAACCCGAACACAGTGCCCTGATGCTTAAATGTCACATTTTCACCAATGTACCTTCATTTTAATCCCATTCTTTACTTACCATCTGCATCTTCTTCTTCAGCTCCATGTTGGCGTTTTGATAGGCCTCAGACACTGAGTTCAGATAGTAGATGGCCAGTCTGTAAAATAAAAGTAAAATATTAATCGTTGTATTTTCAGTGGCTGCAAAGACGCACACGTCTAGACCAACAATTTACTTGTGTAACATCGTATGCTAATGTGTGTTTCTTGTACTTCTTCAGGGGTGAGGACCAAAATATTTTTTTACTTTAGAAAATGTTTGGGATGTGAGGCCTTTTGAGGTGGTCTTCACTTCTCCAAAGGCCTGTTTGAGGGTGAGGATTTGGTTTGAGGGTTCAGGTATGAATTATGCTGAAAGGTTTTGGGTTATGCATTTAATTGCAATGGTCAATGTTAGGGCAAGGGTATGGTTAGGGTTAGTGTGTGTGATCCAAGGTGTCTCCTTAACACTCACACCATGAGCAGTACAGCTGGTATGATGAGGCCTGGGTTGGCTGCGTAGCTGAAAAGCGTCCCCAAGAAGGCTGGAAGGTCCAGGTCGATCGTTTCCATGATAACATCAAACATCTTGGGCTTGCCACTGAAAAAACATCCACAGTCAATATTTATGTGTGTGTATGTGTAATTGCATACACTCATTCCTAACTATACTCCAATAACTCATTAATTTTTTTAAGGTGCAACCAGCAGTTCTCTAGGTTGGTCGGTCCAGAAAAATTGCCCTACATTTTAGCGACCACAGTTTTACCCTAGAAGGCTGATATTTGGCATGGAAGTCAAATGTACGAGTATGATGGTGTGTTTGCGTGTATGCCAATTTTCAAAAGGGTGTGCGTTTTTGAGAGTGGCCACAAAAGACGCACAACTTCTGAACAGATGCAAGACAAAACTCGACTAAACTCATTAACCGTTTGACCCTTTTTCACTCAGCAGTACCTTTTTCATTACTGACTATTTGTCCCTATACTTAAGTCTGACCCCCTTTCATTACTCATAAACCATATCTTGTTGACACTTAAGTGTTCGCCATTATTGCGATGTTGTGCTTGTTCTTCAGTGTTACCTGAAGGGTCCGCAGTCGAATGAAGGTGGCAGGGTCATGATGGTGTAGACGACAGGTAGCAGACTGAGGAAGAGGATAAGGAGCAGCAGACCCATGTAGAAGTTGTTGGACTTGGAGGCTTTGAAGACTCTCTCGTGGGGGACGTTGGTGGCCATTACAGCCCAACACTGGTAGTACATGGAGCTGAGGAGGCGCAGCACGTTGATGCCCACCAGCCCAGGAGCGTAAAACGCACCCATCCTGAAGTACAGCAGCACATGACAGCATGATGTATTAGCATTAGATCCGGGTGTGTGTGTTCTTGTGTGGCCAAACTTGTCAATCGGCCTATATGGTGCTTTAATTGTGTTTTTGCGTTTTGATATGGAGAGATTTTCTAAACAGTGCTTTTATTTTTTTTAAACGAATACGCAAAACCCTGTATTTAAAAAATACTGGTGCACAAATGGACTGGGCCTTATACATGCATAAAAACATGGACACACACACATAGATGTACACATTGGCAATTGAGCATGAAAGTAAAATTAAAGGTCGTACCAGATCATCCCTTGGTTGAAGACCAAACCAAGTACATTACCACTGATGTCAAACTCTCCATATGAAGGCTGAAAGTGGAAAGAGACAAAGATTACTATTTTTCTATTGATGCACGGGTGAGGGCTTTTAAGACCAGCTCCCTAGCCTTTGCTGAGTGTTGAATCACAATGCATAAAGAAAATTGTGCACACAAATATGGAGGAGCTTCTCCATCACAGCTGGAAAAGGTTCACAACTTCAGCTATGGATACGTTTTAGACACACTCTAAGCAAACTATTTATATTAAAATGCTTCATTAGTGAGACTCACAAATCCAGCCTCCAGGTCCCAGCACCAGCAGTAGTTGAGGAAGCGAACGATGACCGCTCGAGCAAAGTCTCCTATCAGGATGGTCAGGTAGGACACCTGGATGTCCGACACTGTCAGCTTCACAAACTCCTGTGAGAGACAGATTCAGGGAAGTGAAAAGGGGAAATAAGGGGTGTGTTTGGTTTGTCAAACAACATATTAGACATCTTTTTATTTCCTTTCTAACACAGTTTTCGGATTCTAATATGAGCTTCTCTATAAGATACGGAAGCCCTGAGAGACCAAAAATGATGGTGTGTTTTTTGTTGCAATACTCCTTTCAACCACAAGAAGCTGTAGTTCTCATTATAATAATAATACGTTTATTTATTATTGCACCTTTCACAGAGATAGAATTCACAAAGTGCTTCACAAGTAAGAGCAAAAGTTAAAATGAAGACCACAGAAACATGAATACAATAACCACATGAGGCAGAAATGTAAGGTCAACATAAAAACAAAACACAGACCATGTGGAGTCCTGAAAGGAACAGCCATAATAACAGAACACATCACCCCATGTTCTACATAGAACAGCCAGCAGATTAGCAATTATTTAGAAATTATTTCTGTTTAATATAATATTAATAATCAGTTTTTGTCATCATTACTATTCCGACAGCAGTCTCCCAGCAGGGTCCTCTGATGACATCAGCAGGGGGCATAGGAGGGGGGGTTAAGCTGGAGTCGTTTAGGAAGAGCGTGTAGTTGGCGTAGTACTCCTTCATGGCCCAGAGGCTAGCGTTCCTAATAGACCCCTCTTGTTCCAGCTGCAGGGCACAAAGTGAACCAGTGACACAAGTTTAAATTTGCTCAGTCACTTTGGTCATTCGTCAGTGAATAATTGATCCTCAAGACCACCTGCAGATCATGGTGAACAGACTCAGGTTAGCCCCAAATCTAACAGTCACAACAACAACTCAAGAAGAGTTGGGCTGATATTTCAGGTTTCATTTTCTGGCAGAAAGCCTGTTTAGACGAACAAAACTACTTTGTCAGATTGAGTAAAACATCATGGTTAGGTTTAAAATAACTATGATTGTAACTGTATTTTAGTTGAAAAATGTTTTGGGTTTCACATGCCACAAACATAATTATGGATTACCCTTTAAATATTCTTGTCAATGCAGTTTCATTGTATGGAAATTGTCCATCAGGTCAGTTTAAAAAAGAGACACACACACACTATGGTACTATACCTTGTTGTTGACCTCGTCAAACAGGGCGAACAGAAAGGTGTACAGGTTCCCCAAGAAAAGGGCGAAGATGCGTCCGAGCTGCCACTTGAGGGCGATTCGAGGATGGTAGTCCTCCAGCTCAGCGATGGTCTCAAACAGAGGAGGACACACCAGACCCAGCAGAGACATGATGAGCTCCAACTGGCACGTACAATCACAATCAACAATAACATGTTCACGTCAAATAACTACATCATCAAACAAAACAAACAAAAAGGTTCATGTTTTTGTTCCGATATGTTTGTGCCTTCAAGATAACATAAAAACTTCTGGCATGATTTTTATGTAACTTGGTGGAAAGGGAACAGAAGAACAAATTACATTTTGGAGGGGATCCGAATCACGGGGCAATTACACAAACTATTTTTCACTTATGTAACCATTGTTAGAAAGGCCTTGGCGGGGGTCTGCGCTCTATAAGTGTCTTCAAATGTCAGCTTTATTGTCAATCTTTCAGTTTGTGTGGACAGACCTTTATATATACAGTCTATGGTACAGACAGAGAGATCGAAATACCGTTTCCAACAATCCCGAATACAAAAACAAATATATATAAAAATATGTATGCAAATATGTATATACCTATATATACACAATCAAAAGACACATTTATACATATGCACACATTAAAGGTGGGGTAGGTAAGTTTGAGAAACCGGCTCGAGATACACTTTTTGTTATATTCCGTGGAATGCTCTTAACATCCCGATAGCAATGAATATCTTAAGTGCTTTGACAAAAAATCCATTAAAAAATGTAATCTGTGGAAGCCGTAATACTGTAAAAAGTACGACCAATCATTTTAGCCGGCCCGGCTAAAATGACTGGATGGCCTACCTGCCTGTCAGCCTTCCATCTGTGCACAAACTTATCTCGTGCCCTCATTGGTCATGTGCGCGTTCGTGTGTGTTGGAGGAGGGGCTCTATAAGGAAGTGGCAGATTTTCTCCGGTTGTGTATTTTCAAATTCTAGCGATCTGGAGCCGGTTTCTCAAACATACCTACCCCACCTTTAAGACCTAAATAAAAGCACAACAATCAATATATACAAAATAACAGTGACTTCAATATCTTTGAGAATGTACATTAGTGCAGTCTTTCGACTTTACTTGTTTTTTCAGTGCTTTTCTGCTGAGTAGCGTGTAATTGATGGACAGTCTTTACTGTATTTGTCTTGTCAACAGTGTGCTACAACATTACCTCGTTCTTCTCGTACCAGCTGAGGTCGTCCCTGTTGGCGAACTCCTGAGACCTCTTCACTACAAAGTAGATGAGGTACCCGCTGCCTCCGAGGCTGCACACGATCATGAGGTTAGCCAGGACTCTGAGGAACCTCCGCAGGTGAATGTTCTCATCCTTCTGGTTCTCCTGCTCGTCTACAATGGACTCCTGTTATTGTCAGGAACAAGAACAGGAAGGATTTACAGTGATTAGAGAACTTAATCTGACAATGACTACATTAAGAGTGTAGCTGTGAGTTTAAAATGGAGCGACAGGTGTGCTGACCAGTACAGATGCATGGATGTTACTTTTATAAAGGTTGCTAATGGTTACCTTGAAGCTGGTGGTGATGGAGGCGTATTTGTTGTCAGCGGTCTCTGAGTTGCCTATGAGGTAATCCCAGCTGGTGAACATCTTCCAGGCGAACGTGAACTCTCCTTCGTCTCCGTCTCCTCCACCGACATCAGCGTTCTTGGCCATTCTGAAAAAATAATAATAATAATGATGACACTAATGGGCATGTTTACTATGGCATATTAGAGCATGAAGGTATCATTTATGGTTTTTTCAAGGAGCTCAGAAAGAGGGGTTTTATTCCAAGAAAACATTTATTTGAGATGTATGTCTCAAATTGTTGATTGTGGGCTAAAATCACAATAATATCCCTATTGCTCATTCTAAAAACTGAACATGTTATTTTGGTTAGGTATAAAACAATGAGTGTGTGATCAGGTTGATCCAACCTTGGAAAATTAAGCTGCGTGGTTCCTTGAAAAATTACATTTTAAAAGAGTTATTTTGAATTCTTATACCGTATATGTTACCCCCTCATCTTGCTTTTTGCCAACCTAAAGGAAATTAAATCAAGTAACACCAATCGCTTCAAATGACCAAATCAAAACTTGAGCTTGATTGTTCGCCATGAAAGTAGGCGCTCAGAGATGGCTAAGATAGTTAATTAATACAAAATATAAATTATTTGTATAACCACACCCCCTGAGCTGGTTACTGCTGCAGACTCACGTGCGGATCACGACCATCAGGCTGTATCCGAAGGTGCCGATCCCGACCATGAGGTAGGAGAGAGGCAGCCTGAACTTCAGCAGGCCGATGGTCCTCTGGTTGTTGTAGTATCCGTAGAACATGATTGAGTACTTGCAGTAACCCTGAGAAAGAAAGGGGGCTTTGATATTCTCAATTCCTTTATTTGCTGAAAATGGTGAGAGTTGGAGAAGTTAGAAAAACGATTATACTGTATTATACATACTCCATAATTTAGGGCAGGGGTGTCCAAACTTTTTTCACCGAGGGCCACATACAGAAAATACAATATAAGACAAGCAGAAGTTTATTATAATTAAGTCAATATACTTTTAGAATTTGCTGAGGGCCGATTCAAAATAGTCCGCGGGCCGCATTTGGACCCCGGCCCATAGTTTGGACACCCCTGATTTAGGGGGTTGACAAAGTTACATCAAAAGAGTTGTATGTGATATTAGATTTTTTAACATTAAAAAAATAAAAAATGAATACATCGATACCCATGAGGCATTAATGTCATCATGTATCAGACTCACTTGGAAATCCATGAGGACAGAGTAGTCCTGAGCGGTGTCCTGATCTGCTCTCGGGACAGTCTTCCTGGGAATGGAGCCATAGGGAAGGCCCATCAGAACCTGGAAATAAGTATAACATTTTATTGTATGAACTGTATTTCAAATATCACTCTGCAAGAAGCTTTCTTCCTGCCACCTGTAGCACCCTGCCCTTAAATTAAGCTGGCTGAGACAGCAGCATGATTTTGAATTTAATTTAATTTATAAACTTTTATCGAAATGCATATCCCAAGAGTGCTTGAATTATCTGTTTGTTAGAAGTTGCAATGCTTTATCATTTTTTGGAAAAAATTGGTTCTTATTTTGAGATACTAATTCATTACTTTGTGATGCGAGGACATTATAATCACATCATTAGACAAAATGTTTATCTATTTTTTGTCTTTTAGTTGTGAAAGTGTTAGCTGTATTTTATTTGATTTTGTGATTTATTTGTATAATAATGAAATAATAATAAAAAGCTCAATGGCCTTGAAGACATACAACAATTTGTGTTTGTTTATATTAATATATTTTATAAAAATATATATATATATGTTAATATTTTAGTTTTTGGGAGAAGGGGTGGGATTAAATAAGTGTAATTAGTTCATTTGTTTATATATAATTTGTAAGTCAGTAATATTTTTGTTTATCAATTTGTCACAGTTTAAGTTTGTATAATAATTCATTTAATTATTATTATATATTTGTTTGTATTATTGTTTTACACATTCGAAATAAATCAAATCATATCAAATTCCATGTTTATTGAGAAACAGGACATCATCTCACCTCAGGGATGACCACCAGTCCAAAAGTGAAACCAAAAAGGACCAGGTTCATGCCGTACATCCAGCGCAGGAAAATGAAGTAAGAAGCCACAGATGACCCAAAGTGACCTGAGAAGAGGATAAGAAGATGTTTTTAGTTTAGCGTGTGTCCACTGGAGGTCGCTGTTTAGCTTGAGCGCAGTTACTTACTCTCCACCTCTTTAATCTTCCTCTCCCAGGGGATACAGGCCGTTCTGAAGTTTTCAAAATCCCTTGAGAACTTGATCCATTTCTAGGATTTAAAAAGAAAAACATGTAATATTAAAGAAGAAAACACACACAAGCAAAAAAGCAGAGAAAATATAGAAGTTTGAATGTTGTGTCTCACCTTTTTCATCATCACTTTGTAGGCGTACCACTTCCTGCCTTTTCCTTTGCCCAAAGCTCCTTCAAACTTATCAACGAATTCTTGAGCCTCCCTGTGGGAAAAAATAAGGCGATGTTCGCCATTTAAATAAGCTAGATTTATGTTTTTTCCATATTGATTTACTTGCTAAGCCACAATAACAGTTTTTCACAAAATAAAGTATTAAGAAACGGCAAGTCTTGAGGGCACACATCACAATTTAAAGGTCACCTATTATGCAAAATCCACTTGTTCATGTCTTTTATACATAACCATGTGTCCCCTCTGTGTAAAGAGATTCTGAAAGTTTCAGGAAAAAAGATTCTCTCTCTTTTTGTCCTGATCCATTTATATAAAAACCTGTCTGAAAATGAGCTGATCAGATTTTGGCCACTTTATGATGTCATAACGATTTTTTGGCTGGTGTAACCATTAGCCAATCACCAACCAAGGTAACCCCCCCTTGAAAAAAAAAAAAAGCTTGAAACCAGGATAGGTGTGAGAGATTACTTCAGGTGAACAAGCCTCCGCTTCATCCTCCAAGGCTTGTTCCTGATGGTGGCGATCAGTTTCTTCTTCTCCTCCACCTCCTCCATCAGCCGGGCCATCTCTCCCTCCGACATGGACTCATCCTCTTCAGAGTTGGTGTTGGAATCAGAATCAGAACTGCAGGAGAAAAGGCAGACAACAATTGTGAAACATGTTCTCATGTGGATGATACCATTTGCTAATTAGCACTAACAACAGAACATAAATAAGACTGATTGGAATGTCATTTGTTCTTCCAAAATATTCGAAATGTAAATCTTTGGACTCATTTTACAAGTCTCATTAAAATCCATAACTGTCAACTTCATAATTGTGCTAAAAGATAAGTCAGGAGATGAGTAAAATCAGTAGGATTCATCCTCTGGGGACCATGAATTGCTGTTTGTTTCAGAGATTCAAGTTCCTAAAAGCATATTCAAGTTTAGTCAAGCACCATCCTCCGACCAAATACCAGCTTTGTATACATCCAGTTATTGCCAGGATATTCATGTTCCCCAGAGGATAACTCCAGGTGATTTTGGTAACCCCTCTGACTATTGCATTATGAAAAAAATTCCACTCGTGCATAAAAATATAAATACCTAATGGTTATATAAGCATACACATGACTGAGCACTGTTGCTTTAGTTGAATCCAGAAGTGTCTCATAGACGCTCAATTGTGCCTCGTAGGCATCGGTATATGACCCCTAGGAGTTGAACAAGACTACCGGATGGCAATATATTGTAAACATTGGCAATTACGTTGTCCTTTAAGATCATTTGGATCTCCATGTACACACCAGTTGGGTAGCTACAGTATGTGACTGCTTACCTGTCGTCCTTTTTCTTCTTCTTCTTCTTCTTGTCATTGTCATTGTCCTTGTCTTTCCCCTTGTCCTTCCCTTTGGCATCCCCCTTCTTACCCTTACTGTCCTCCTCATCCTTCCCTCCTTTCTTTCCTCCCCTCTTTCCCTTCTTCCCTTTCCCCGCATCACTGTCATCGTCATCACTGTCCTGAGCTTTGCCTCCTTTCTTCTTATTGGCTGCTCCTTTTCGACCTTTCTTTGGAGCCTCGTCCTCACTGTCATCGTCATCTTTCGCGTTGCGACCGCCACGTTTCTTGACGGGCTTCTTCTTGTTTGCTCCCCTGCGTCCCCTGGGGGCTTCATCTTCATCATCCTCGTCTTCGTCCTCACTGGCAGGTTTTTTACCCCGGCCTCTTCCCCTTGCACCTCCTCTTCCAGCTCCCTGCCTCCTGTTGTTTGTCCTCTTGTTGTTGCCGCCATCTACATAAAGACCAAATTCATCAATCAAATACAGAATTTAGTCTTCAAATAAGACATTTACTATATTTAAATCACTTCAATGTCATGCTGTTTTGTGCACTCACCATCACTTTCACTCTCATCTGCGTCCATCTCTATGTTAACTGAGGAAGGACACACAATACAACAACACGATTACATATTACTACCAGCCAGGAGGCCATCATCTACAATGTATCTCCAATTCAAATTCAATCTGCAAATAATTACCAAAATCAGTGCAAGAAATGTGTGTTTTAACATATTTTTTCCAAAACAATGACATTGTTTCAACTTATTTCCTAGTTCGATGGTTATCAGTTGTTACTCTGTCCACCCCTTTGTACCAGACAGAAATGTCTCAACAAATATCTCAACTCCTATTGGACAGAATCTGTTTTAAACAAAGCTATTATCACGTTTCTTAATTGTTCAAAACGTTGCTGAATGACCAAGTTCCAACATCAAACTCAGCTGTACTTTGTTTTTAGTGCTATTCAGCAAATGATGCATGCTAACATGCTAAATTAAGATTACAAACATTGTAAACATGAACCTCTACACATTAGCAAGCTAGCTAGAATGACATTTCCTGTTAGAGGTCTTATTATAATTTTGTTTGACCAAATATCTGAAAAAAATAACATTCCCATTAGCCTCAGCAGTTTGGTGTTAATTATGAAATGTGATGCTAACTCGCTGAACTTGCTGATACATGTTAACGGTTTCATTGTAGGCATGTTAGTGCAAACTTTAGCATTGAGGTTGGCCAAAATGGCTTCATCCAACACTTTTTTTAAACAAGTTGCCCCCTACTGGCCATTAGAAGAATGCAGCTTTAATGCACTTCCACAAAGGCTTAATTTTTGTATTTCCACTTTTTTAAACAGACCACATCTCTGGCATTGAAGCTAATAATGTTGTTTTCATTCTGTAAGCAGTGAGTAAGTTGTTAAGACCAATGTCAAAATATACAATTAATGTTCATATACTAAAGTAAAGTACATTTTTGTAACACAATCATCTTAAAAATGTGTTCTGATATAGGATAAACATTTTTCCCTTCAGAAATGAACCTCCTACATTATCAAACGAACCTAATTGATATCATTAAAACTTACAAAGTCACTCCTCTAAACATTTAATTTTCAACTTACTATCATCCGTATCCTTTTTTCTCGGCATGGTCAAAATGAAAAGGTGTCCGTCCTCTGCAGCGTTTTCTCAGTCTGTGTCCTCAGCAGGTTGGCTGTCCTCTGGATCCACGCCAGCACCAACTCAGGTAACTGACAGGGTCGTCTCGTCACTATGACAACGGCTGCATCTGACCCGCTCTCAACAGGTGCTTTTGGACATTTGCAGTAAATTCTTGACAACTCAAGTGATCTAATGTGGCTAATAGAGCAGAGAAGTTGGGTTATGGTCCAGGAGATGGGCATTTGTGTTTTATAATTTCTACGTAGAGTGGGTGATATCCAGCTGCAGGTCACATTACATATTAGCTTTTAGCATCTGACTCTTAGCGTTCAATGTGGCTCTTTTTAGCTAGGCTTCACTATTATGTCCTACTTTGTTTTTCCTAAATGATCATCATCTGAGTGCAGAGAGACACTCTCACTCGTCTTGTTATCGGAGACCACACACACACAAGAAGCTCAGACGCCCTAAAGATTTAATGAAGGTGTAGGTTTCTCTATGCGAGGCCCATTAGGCAACCAGTAAATACCCAGAGATGACTTTGCAGCTGCAGTATACTTATGTTTATGAATTTTCAATAGAAACACAGTATGGGATAAAGAGTCAACCAACCTGCAGCAGATACCAACAGCAGCTACCTGTGTGTGTGTGCAGAGATAGAAACCTTTCAACAAAACACCTCAGTGCCTCATTAAATAATACAGTGGAGCTCATTTTTCAAGTCCAAAATGATTCCATTACATGGTTGTCGGTTCCCGCAGGTGAGACTTGGATGACACCCCTTTAAGCCCGTGCTGATGTACACGTGAGTGTGATGGAAGTGTAACACATCTGCTGAATTCCTGCCCACCTGTTTAGAGAACAAAGCCGGTCCATGTGTGAAGAAAGATTATATGACGGCAAATATTACTCTGCGAGATGGTGATAGAGACCTGGTTTTGTCGTTAAAGGGGCTGTGTATGGCACGATTAGCTTTGTAAAACTTTAAAAAATCAGACATTAACAACAGAATTTGAAGGATTAACAGTTTTGACCTTCTAGCAAGACGTCAGTGTATTGTGTTGCAGGAATACCTTCAGAAATTAGCATGCTAACCAGCTAGCCCCTGCCCGTTCTATATTGTAGTTCCACTTCTACATCAAGAAACAATACAGTAGTGCAGTGATGATGCAGTTATGCAAGCCGACCTGAAAGTGAGCATCACACACACATTTGAGATAGCTACATGTTTTGTTCAGCAGGATAATCTCCACATATTAACACCACTTTATGATTTTTTTTAAGCGTAAAAGCAATCGCCAGAAGTAAAAAGCTATCGCTAGGCTTTTAAAAAAACTACAAGATGGTGACATGGCTGCTTATCAACACCGCTAAGCTAAAGGTGGCTAACGTGCGATGTGATGACGTTTAGTAGTGTAATTTACCAATTTTTTAGCAACTGCAGTTTTTAAGACCCATAGAGGAGTCCGACATTCCCCAGTGGGGTGTTATTAATTAGTTAGTTAAGAGGTAAAATGGTGCCCCCTAGTTGTTAATTGTATAATTAGTAAAGCATATTTAGAGCACTATTGTAAATCACCACAAAACCAACCTAAATCTTCAACCAAAACTGGGCCTTACTTAAGCCAGACATATTTTCTGATGACTTATAATTAAAGCAAACGCATATTTTGATATTTTTAAACATGGATGAACAGATGAGACAAGAGCTCCTACTATAAGTAATTATTATTATTATAATTTATTGTATTAGAGTGATTCTATAATTTAGGGTGCATTTCACATCAACAAAACAGTACAAAGAAAGTGTTCTTTCTCAATAGAACAATCAGTGGTTCAAGTTAGTATATTCCTCAGTGTAACATATCCACTAGTTGCAAAGCTTAAACATTTTTTTATTTTATTTTATTTTAAGGGAAAGGATGTTTTCACTACTCAGTTTGTCAACTATGTTACGGACAAACTTGATGTCATTACAATCATTTGATTAAGTCCTGCACTTCAAGTAAAATCAAATTTGAAAGGCTCTTGAGTCTATTCTACCATATATCCAAAGATTTTTTAAAGTTTAAAAAATAATTGTATTAAAGTTTTGTTTTTTCATGTGATATGTTCAGCACTGTCATTAAGTTTAGGGATATTTTGTATTATAAAACTACCAAACAGGTCATTTTGATAGTTTTAAGAGATGTCATGTAAAACTCCAACCTGTGTAGATATACATTATACTATAAAGGATATCAGAAGCACTATTTTAGATATTTTAAATTTGAAAAAATGAGGTGCAACATAGTTGACAATGAAAGTCAAACATTTGACGCAAATAACATAGTTGACTGGACACATTATTAACCATCAGCACTATGTTCATTTCAAGGCAGAAGTGCAAAATTCCATTGATAATGATGTGTAATGACGTCTACATGTCCTACAAATTGTCAACTAGGTTACCTGTCAACTAAGTTACTACAGTTATTACAGTACTGGGTAACCTAGTTGACAATTTCCCTATTTTGACCCATCATTTCAATGGTAGGCCTTGCTTGGATGACCACATGTCATTTTCTTGAACAGGTTAACATCACATTTGAACATATAATTGAATTAAAATCATTAAACAATTGTAAACCATAACAATGTACATAACATTGTTGATGGTCAATGAATATACTCATTGACAATGTGCTATTATACATAAAATATTGTAAAAAATTAGAGGACAATCACCACAGTGTGTTCAAAATGTCTGCCAAAGAGGAACATGGCATCATGTGATGCTGGTGACATGGTATTGGGACAAACCATTTTTGAGTTAAATGGGGGAGTTCTGTTAGTAACATAGTTGACAGAACTTTTGCGGACATTCATATATTAAGATATTTAAATTATTTAAAGGAGGAAATCAATTAAAAAGATGTTATTATTCTTTAGTATTTAGACTTTTGAAATAAATGAATACTTTTTTTTATTTACTTTAATGGTTTTTATTCATTATTTTGAAACCAAGTTTCACCACCCTCAACTCAAACACCCTCAACTGAAAAACGGACAGAGCAAAAACTGACAATTTAAGAACATCATGACACATTTCAAGGTAAATAAAGCATAGGATGCACATAATGTTTGTGTGATATTATAACATGCTTTCCAATAATAGGCAAAATATGATATTTTTGAAGAAAATAGTTGGAATAATTATAATTATCATCAATGGACATCAATGGACATGGAATGTACCCTGAATTGTAGAATCACTCATTAACCTATTTGGTTAAAGTGCTGAATGCCCCCGCTGCAGGAAAGTAGTTTAAAAAACTTCACAGCGAGAATTAAAAAATGTTCTCGTCAACGGACACATTGGGGTTCTTGACACGCATTTCTAAACACCCATCGCATGTTTCTAAATCAATATTTAATGCGTGACCACCATGAAAGATGTATGAGAAATTAAAAGTTAATGGATCATGTCTTGCTGGAGAGGTCAACAAAGTGTGTGTGTGTGTGTGTGTGTGTGTGTGAGTAATGGTTGTTAATCCTGATGAACATTTCAATTCCCACAATGTTGACATTTGAATGATCTGTATTTACTTTTATTATTGAGTTTGTCTTCCAGAGTTTCATCATTTTGCACCAAGTGAACACTTTGTTAAAAACTACATTTATATTTTGAGTTTTTGTTTTCATGTCATTGTAAATGGGATTGAGTGTATCTGTTAGTAGTGTCTGCTACGCCATCTAGTGGCTGGTCTGCTAAACGAAAACGTACATTTACACTAAACAACTACTTTGGCACAACAGTGTATTACTAAATGAATTAGCTTTTCAACAGATTTTGAGAGGCCATTAGACATTTGTGAGAATATATATTAATATATCTTACATGTTCCTCTATAGTTTCACACAATCACAGTGAGAGCATACCAGCTTTTTTATTGCCGTTATCTCAACAAAAAGGCAATTTGAAAAGTTTGAACAATATTATCCGAATTAAAACAAAGAATTCTACTATAACTGATCTAGGAACATTAGGTAATACTGAGATAATAAATGAAACTGGAACTGAATATTTTTGTAACATGAATCAAATGGAAAGAAAATAGTTACTTCTGCATAGCCACAAAAATATCTCGGGAAAAATGTCTACAATTCCTCTGGGGAGGGACATGTCTATGGTGCTGCTCTGCTGATAAAGGAGTATACTATGCAAGTGTGAGAGAGTGTGTGTGTGTGTGTGTGTGTGTGTGTGTGTAAACATACTGTCCTGATGATGGATGGATGTCAGAAGGTCACACTCTGTGCAACAGATCCCGTTTCCCCTGCAGAGACAGTGACATGTACACGCATAGTTGGCTCACAAAAATGTGTTATTACTCACTTGACATAATAACCGTCAAGTAACAAGTAAAGAAACTAGCAGAGAAAGGGAGGTGATATTCCCAGACAGAACTCAGGATTAAACTCGTAAAATCCTCTGGGATATTCTCAGAGATTAAACAAGAAAACATTGTTTCCATGTTATGTCTGTGGAGTGATGAGGTTCCTTGATATTAAACATGTTTACTTTCAGATGTATGACATTAAAATATCAGAAACTATAAAGAAAATGTAGAATATATGTATTTTTCTGATTAAAATAGAGTATAAATATGTTTTGGGGGGGAATGACGTCATACGTTATGGCAACAGACATTTAAAGCTTTATTCAAAAACCTCATTAGAAGCTTTGAAAAAATAAATACATGCGGAAAAATCATATATATATATATATATATATATATATTATATAATATAAAATATATTAATAAATAAGAGGCCAAAAGTTTACAAATAAAGCTTTCAATTTTCATTTTAGGCTGTTTCATATAAAAATAAAGAGCCATTGAATTCTTGATTTTAAATTTGTGAACATAATTTATTTACATCATAGAATTCATTCTTTATTATTGGAAGATTACACACACTGCAGTATATAAATAAAGATGTTTGTACAAACTTGCATAACTAAAGGATAAAAAAACTGAAAACACACGGATTAAGCAGCCGGACCAAAAA